AGTTGACAAAACACCTTGTCCTGTTCCTTAGCTTCCATCCTCTTCAAAGTGGGGCCAGCAGTCAGCCACTGCTATAAACCAGACTCAGAACGCCCTGTCACTGGCTGAGATCCAGAAACTGGAAGAGGAGAGGGAACGACAGGCACGGGAGGAGGTAAGGACCGCCCTTTGTCAGGCTAGTTGTGTTTGGCGGCTCTGTCACCAGCAGTGTTTTAGTGCCTTTCTTGAGTTAAAAGCAATGCCATTGACTAAATCTTGTCATTTAGCCAAATGCCATTATTTTTGTGCACAATAATTCATGCCCTCCTTCCTCTCTCACTCCCACAGCATCGGCGTCAGCAACAAGAGCTCCTGAAGCTACAGCAGCAGCAGGCCATGCAGCTGGCTCAGCAGCCCCAGGCCAAGCTGTCTGGTTGGGGTAGTGTGGCCAAACAGCCAGCTATTACCAAATCTTTGCTGGAGATTCAAAGGGAAGAAGCCCAGCAGATGAAACAGCGGAAGGAGCAGCAGCCACCGCAACAACACCCCATTGTCACCCAACAGATCCGCCCTCAAACCAGAACTGTACGTGACATGTGTATACAATACTGAAACTGAGTTATGTAGAGCCACAGAGTTGGGTGTGGGTCTTTTAGTGGATTCAGCACTACGGTGACATTTTGACATCAGAAATTCACTGTTGCTTAATGCAGTTACAGCAGAAGATTATTTGGTGAGCACGAATGCAAAACATTTCTTAGTTCCAGTTTTTGGGCTGTATTGTGTTCCTTCTGTGCATTACAGAAAAAATATCTTTGCATATATTCACATTTTCACTCTGAGCTAAGTAATTGGCAGATGAATCAGTTATGAAATAAATTGTGACTTGCTGCCCTAGAATCAAGTGTTATGTCAGTAACAGTGTCTCACTCTCCTCACAGCCATCTCTGAGTAACTCAGTGTGGGGGTCTGTGAACACCAGCTCCTGCACTAATTGGGGCTCAGACTCTAGCAGTATCTGGGGTGACACCCACAACTCTAACATGGGCTTCTGGGATGAGGCTGTGAAAGAGGCGGTCCAGCAACCTCCCCAGCCCAAGAAAGGCAGCACGCAGAAGAACAACAAAGGCAACGCCAACCTCAGGTATTTATTAAGAATGCCTAAAAAACGTCTTCGTCACAACCTCCGATGAAGGGTGACATACAATGTGAAGGATATGAGTAATACGAAGATCTTACAAACTTCTTTTTGTCTTCTTCCTCTATTTATAAAGTAACTCTTTGAGTGGGCGGCCCAATAAGAAGGTAGAAGAGGAGGAGAAGCTGCTAAAGTTGTTTCAAGGGGTTAGTAAGAGTCAGCAGGACACCTTCATGCAATGGTGTGAGCAAACTCTACACACCCTCAACACAGCCAACAATCTGGATGGTAAGACTTTAAAAATATGTTTTGCAAAGACACTCCGCCCACCACTATTGATGGACTATTTCTGGAAGCCAAATTTTAAAAATATTATCCATCTGTCTCCCTGCCAGTTCCAACGTTTGCATCCTTCCTGAAAGAAGTGGACTCTCCATACGAGGTGCACGACTATGTCAGGGCCTATCTGGGGGACACTCCCGAGGCCAAGGACTTTGCCAAGCAGTTTCTGGAACGTCGTGCCAAACAGAACGCTAACCAACAGAAACCGGCACCGCAGATCCAACAGCAAGCCCTCAAGCAGCAGCAGGTGAGCGTGACTGAAGTGGTACCAGCGAGATAAAGGCTCAGCATATGGGTACCAAATGTTTTGGTCCCATTTTTTGCCTCACAAAAGCCACGTGAGTCTTTATAATCTGATCTAAAATAGAGACATCTGTCGTTTTTCGCTGCCCCAAAATAGCTTTCACTCTGGTGCATTTCTGCCTGGCGGGTTCAGACCAATCAGAACAAGTCATCTGACATAGCGAGTGCCGTCATACTCCATCCATGGCCACTACTGTTATTTACATTTCTTCTGTGACTCTTTCTTGCGTCACCCTTTTGGATCAGCCCCCAAAAGATGTCACTGCACTGCTTATTCCTTGTTTCCTTATGGGAACAAAGAGCCAAATCTGTCTATGTGATCCTCACAAACAGATCTGGCTTGTTAAATGTACGTACTTTTGACTCCGGTGTCTGTAAGGGTTGGGCAATATGATGATGTATACCATGAGATAATGTACTTTTTTCTGCCGTCAGATTTAGGCCATTGTGGGCAGTCCTCCATCACTGAGCAGTCTTTTAAATGTTTGCAACATGTAAATCACACATCCTGTTATGGAGGATGGTACCCATATTGCCCACACCTAGTGTGTGCACTGAAAGCAGCATTATCTTTCAATCTTCTCACTGACTCGATACCGCTACAGTAGAAAACAAAATATTTGATTTTAGCAAAATAAATCAAAGCAGAGATATGTTTTTGCATTGAACCCTTAATTTATTGGCAGAATAGTTGCCAGCAATGGTTCCTATAAATTCTGTGTAAAGACACATCTACTACTGTTGCTGGTGACAATATTCGGTACTATGTTTTGTCATCAGTACCAGAAAATGAATCTCCACTTAACTTTGAATAATGATGATTGATGAACGTGGCTCAGTCTGTTCAATTTCGAAATAGTAATAATAGTAATAGTCCCCTTCTGCATCTCATTATGATTGTTATAATGATTTTAATTGGTTGTGGTAATGAAATTGGTATTTACTGCGACCACATTGAAGGAAGTAGTAACGTTTTGACGTTGCTGGCGTCAAAGACCACAACTCAACAGAACAACTTTTAAATCCACCTTTCTATATTGCCCAGGAATCTGTATGGGGTGGAACAGGATCTTCGTCGCTCTACCAGTCCAACCATACGAGTGGTCAGCAGCAGCAGCGCTTTGAGACAGTCACCTCAGGGAAAAAGAAAAAGAAGCAGAAGATGGTCCGCGCAGACCCCAGCCTTCTAGGTGAGGGCAAACATCCACCTGCTAAATCAGAACAATCTGCAACTATGTGTCACTGCTTTCTTTTTATATCACATCTGCTAATTGGGTCTTCTTTTAACATTTTCAGGTTTTTCTGTCAATGCGTCATCTGAGAGATTGAATATGGGAGAGATAGAGACTTTGGAGGACTTTTAAGGGACTGCAGCCAAGCAAAGCCCCATTGACTGTATCCTATTTGAACAGCAGCTGTTTTACCCAAACCCCTGCCACGGCCCCTCGACTGCTTCCACAACTTTCACCTTTTTATTTTCAGTTTCCCTATTTATCAGACGTACTCTGGTAATCCCTCATAAATTCCTAATTGTGAACAAGTGGTGATCTCTGAGGCGGTGTGTATTTTTCCTGTTGCTTGTGGACCTAAATAATCTGATGAAAACCCTCCAGAGAAAAATGGACTGGAGCAAACTGGCCAGTGAAACAACCGACCAGCCAGGAGAGCAATCACCAGATAAACTCGGGAGTTTCTGGAGAACGTCTGCAGGGGCGTTGATGTCCGTTCGGTATCAGCTGCTCGGTCCTGAATCATGTCCTTTTGTAGAAATTCAGTGACAACTAATTTCAAATTTGGCCTCTGTGGTATGGGTTTTTTCTTTTTTTTTTTAAGAGTGGATATATGGATGGGTTGGTTGGGGTATTATGGGAATGCTTAGAAGGATTATATCCATTGTTTTTGTTTTATTTATTGAAATTTTTCCCCTCACACTTTAATCCCCCACCCCACCTTCTCTTTTCCCTCCCTGTTTTCTGCTGGGTGTTCATGGATAATGACGGCAAAGTAGAGCCCAAGGATTCGTGCCCACTTATGTCCTGTTTTAAGGACATGTTCAAAAGTTCCAAGTAGTTATCTATTTCTTGTAAAATACTAGGCTGTTTAAAGAATAAACTTTCAATTCTCTGCATCTGTATTATAATATATGAAAATGATCTGCTGGAGTCATACTTTTTTATTGCAGTATGAAATAATAAAACAGTCTGATGTGTGGGCTGTTCACACCTGTGTCTGAACTATTCAGAAAAACCACAAATGTGCAGAATTCATTTGATCCACCTGCATTCACCCGGTCACACTGTGATCAATCCCGTTGTACAGAGATCCTATTAAGAGCTCTAAATGACAAATGAAAATGAATCTTTGCCAGGTATTAAAGAGAGCACGAGAGGGAAGCCAGGTATCTGCATTCACAATGTTAATGAACTAAGGAACATTTTAAATCCTGCTAAGCTACGAATTTAGATAGAAAATTGCCAATGAGTAATCATATCAAATGCTATTTTCCCCTGTTAAACCTGGTACATATATTATGCTTATTTTTTTAATTTATAGTTTCTGCCAAGCAGACGAAATGCATTGTCAGACTGCTTGCCACAGTGGGGAAACAAAAGTTAAGCTCTTAACGGTATTTTTCAGGAAGTAAAGCTCATCCTCTCACTGCTCGGTTGTAGTGCATATTTGACCGAACTGGAGTTTTTAAATTTACAAAGAGGAAACGAAACTCATCAATTCCATCATATGAATAGTGACAATATTTTTCTAGACACGCACATTGATTGTCATACTGAAACAAAACTCTTAACTGCCAGCACTGAAATCTGTTAAGACTTCCCAAAATAACCAGGTAAGAACAAAAATGAAACCAAAGCCTTATTGTCTTAACACTATTGAATTGATTCTCAGTGCAAAAACATCTCTAAGTGTACAGTACTTTAACTCAGTTACTGTACTTAAGTACATTTATGGGGTACTTTATTTGAATATGTGAATTTGATGTTACTTTATACTTTCATTTAGGCAAATATTGCTTTTATTATGATGAAAACATGAAATGAAAATAATGGTCAGGGTGAATGGAATAAGTGAAACTATTATTTCAGTCTGAATTCCAGGCCAGTTGCATTATGGGAAATGTAGAACCCAAAATTCTTAGACAGGCTGACACAGGGTACTTGAATTCGGCACTCAGCACCTACAAGTTCTTGGTAATCCCCCAAAAGGAGTGCAATAAATGAACTGCTGGAGGATTACTTGCATGTAGATATTGGTACTTTCAGACCTCAATACTTTCTCCTCCACTGCCATCTTTAGATTTCTTTCCTTCAAGAGTAAAGGCATAAAAATGTCCTGCAGAGACCTTCGTGATGTGACCTGGCCGAGGTCAGCGGCTACCAAATGTTTACCCCTCACGCCCAACTATGTGGATGGAGGAGTTTGGAGTGGGTGTGCCCTGCGATGATGTGCTCACAAAGTCCACACTGTCCAGACAGTCCTGTGCACACCTAGTCCCCACCCCTTCTCTCACCCCCTCAGCTGCCTACCTCTCCCCTCCTGCGGTCCCCTGTACTCTTCTCCCGCTCCTCTCCCGGGGTCAGTTACTCGTTTGAAGTTACTACTACTCGAGGGGTTTTGGAGACGCTTTGCTCTGTCTGACGCTCATCCTTCGCAGCCACCATGGTTCACAGCAGCAGTATCTGCAGATTCCTCCTCCTGGTGCTCCTAGGCCTCATGGTAGCCTTTGTACACACAGGTAAACCTCCTTTTTGAGTGAGATTGATATTTTTTATTTCATTTCTGTGGGTTGGGTAACATGTATGCAATCTCGCCGCTGTGTGCTGCAAGTAATTACGCTAGAAATGGAACACAGTCTTATTTATTAAAAAAAAAAAAAAAGCATCCGGCTCTCAGCCTTGAAATGAGAGGTGTGATGTGAGGAGAAAGGTGACCGAAAAAAGAAGTCAGTAGCTGTTTGTTCTAGAAAAATGTGGTTATTTTAAATCATTGCAGATCTTTTTTTGTGTGTCCTTAAGATATTAGAATAAGTAGTTTCAAGGTTTTCTATTCTAAACACTGTTGTTTATCTTGCTGTATGTGATTCATGGGCTGATGTTTGGTCCTCTGTAGGCATCAAATCAAAGATGTGTGTATACGTGTCATTTTACACCACACACACACACACACACACACACACACACACACACACACATTCACAGACCTGTGTGTTTGAGTCTGCTGCGTGATGTAAATGATGCAGTTGTTGAGGCTCAGAGACTCCTGAAAGCTGCTCTTTGACAAACAGGATGACTCAGTTCCTTTCATGATGCCTGATGTTCTTATGAAACTGAATACCTGCTGCCCTCCGACTCCAGTTATAAAGGTTATAAAGTGCTTCTGTGTCGTATCAGTTTGAGGTAGTGAGACGTCCACAGGTGTTGAGTTTATTTCATGTATGTGGACAGATTTGGGAGGTAGTAGTGTGACAAGCGGACAGATTAAATGATTCTGTCTTCATCTGTGCACATTTTTTGTGATGTACGAAACAGCAGAACATCAACTGGTTCCCAGAATGAGGGCTATTTAACTGGTCTTTCTTTCACTTTCACTTATTTTAGTCTGTTCTCTGTTCCTCTTTTACTCTCAAATCAACTTGGAAAAAAACCAGCTCCCAGGCCCAGAGGTCACAGTAGAGGTCAAGGGGGCGATTGGGTGACAGAGATATAGCAAGTTGATGATGTCTTCACTGTGCTGTGGGAAAAGAAATACATCCGTCACCTTTTACATGGGACACAAAACCTACTGGGATAAAAAAAAAAAAAGAATACGTCAGGGTTTGTGAGGTGCTGTAACTTGCCCTCACCTTTCTAAAAATATCTTGCGGCCTCCTCTTGCATATTTTTAATGCCACTCAGGGATTTTCTTTTACATAAAGTATCTGGATGGACTTCAGATATCTTTATAGATCATCCAAGCAAATAGAATAATCTGGATAATTCGCTTCAGAATTATATATTTGTAGAGAAATGTTGTTTAGGACAACTGCGTTCTGCTTGCCTGTACACTGATTCTGCCCTTTGCAGCTGCCTGTTATCTGTCTGTTCGGTGGTTGCCAAGTACTTTACATGATGTTTATGCTATCAATTTTAACCACAGCAACAACCAACCAAGTGACTGAACCAGTGTGACATGCAGCTCAGCGGTTGACTCAGCATGGGAAACAAACCGAGATGTGTGAAAAAAAAAGCTCAAACTAAAAAAGTATGATAATTACTCACACCATCTTTATCTTCCTCAAAATTGCTGACATGATTAAATGAGAGCGACACAGAGCCTCGCCATGCAATACAGACAAGGGTTCACTGCTAGTTCTGTAACTATCCTTCCTTCTCTCCTCGTTGCAGAATAAAATCCAAGACACACTGGTCATTTGTCACATATTTTACCAAGGAAAATGTTGCCACCACGTGTGTAAGTGAAAGAGGGTGAAGCAAGGACACATGACACTATCGATGTCATGTTTGGGCTGCGTCATTTGCGCTTTCAATGCTTGGCCAGGTTGCTTTTCACACAGACCCGTCTGCGCACTTTGTCATCTCTCTGGCTGATGTGAAATCCTCAGTGAAGGTCTGAGGTACCAACAAATGGCCTTCTGTGTTTTTAGTGTCTGAAATCACTCTTCCCTACAGTCTGCCAGGTTTTTATGAGTCTGCACTTGTGTATGGAGAAGGAGGGTTCTTGATTGACACGTGGAGTCATGTCTTTAAAAAGTGTAAATTAGTGCAGTGATTCCCAACTAGGGGTAGCGGTTACTCCTGTAGGTCAGGTGATCTGTAGAAAGCTAAACTAATTAAAACCAATGAACTCAATTAACCCCACCAAAAAAATATCAAACTGTGATTTAATTCCAATCATTATCAATATATGTGTGTAAAAGAGGAAATTAAACAGCCAGAAAGGATAAAAATTTTTATGTGATACTAATCTTAGGTAAACTTAATAACCAAATCAGCACATTAACATCATGTGTTACTGTTGAGCATGCTTGAAAACGAGTAAGAGAACGAGATGATGAGATGAAATATTCAGCTAAAAGTCATAGATGAGAAGTTAAATTAGTTTGTTTTAAGTGATGAATACACATTTAACATAGTTTGCTAAAAGCATGGGTAAGACAACCAGCTGAAATAGATGAAAGTAAGATAAACATTTAAAATAGGGTGTCATGCCATTTTTCCACAGCCTGTTATCCCGAAAACAAACTCCCATTGCTCCCAAAGTACCAACCTGGTTTAACTAAACATATTTAACTTACATACAAAACTTGTAATTAAGCCTAACCAGATGTTGCGTAAACTTATCCAAACTGCATTCCTTTCACAACCACATTTATTATTGTTACCATGATGACGAAGATCACCTGGCGTTTGCATATTGAAATACGTTTCTATATTCAGGACAAAAAACTCCAGGTAGAGTGTTTACGGAACAACAATGGCCTTCAGAGCTGGAGATAATGGCTGCCGTAAATATGGACCTTCTGTCCAACGGGACCTTTTTTTGGCTATTGAGGTTTTGGAGTAACAGGCCGTGTCAACAATTCGTTATCCCCTAAAATAGTTAGCTAAAACTAATGGATAGTTGTACAAGCTCAGTAATGAATAAAGAGCTGAAACAGTTAGCTAAGAAATAATTCAAACTGATCAAAGTAATTGATAAACAGTTAATTTGGAGATGTCAGACGGTGTCAGTGAAGGGGTTCTTGGGCTCATCTGACAGGGCTGTGGGGGGACATCAGACAACAGAAGTCGGAACCACTGACCTTGCGTTAAACTGTCAGCTGAGAAGATTTTTTTTAATGCTAATTCCATTAAACAGAAATTTCAAGCGTGAGTAAACCCCTCCTTGTGGAAACAAACGCCAACGGAAAACATCATGTTATTATTTTTTGCCTTCTTATTAAATCAAGCTGTCCAGAAAGGCGCAGCCTTTTACACACAGGGACTATTTAATAAACAAGTTTGTTTGACATCCAGTGCCCAGCCGGGGCCTGGTTTGGGCCTGGCCGGTTGTTACTGGTTGCAGCCCGCCACCCTCCGTGACCGCACAAGCTGCCTTTTGTGCCCTCGGTTGAAGGCCTCATTGATGGCTGAGCTGGCCAGAGGCCCGGGCCTCCATACCTCCTGCCAGCTACAGGACAGGAAGCTGCACACGACTCAGAGTCAACACAACAGCATCAAAATACTCACACCAGAAGTCCATATCAGAACTTAGAAGATATCCCAGCTAATATGCGACCGTTGAAGACTCAAGATTATATCGTACGCACTGGTTTCTTAGTAATAGTGTCATGTTTTCTGCTCTACTTGACAGATTAATCCTTTGATAATGACATAGAAAAGATGTAAGACAGGGTGAAGGAGTTTACTGAGGGCGTCAGGGGCTACAGAGTAAATATGTAGCGTTAAATAAGCTGAGTGTAAATATGTTTGGATTACGGTTTTGTTGGTATGCGTAGAGTTGAGGATAGGATAAGTGAATCAGTGAGTGGGTGGGCTTGTGTGTGAAGAGTTTGTTTTTTCAGGGGCGATGAAGATCAAATTTTCCTCCTTTTCCTTTGGATTTCAAAAGAAAAGCTGCACAGCCGTTCAATTGTCATTGAGATGGCAGCGACCACAATCACAGACTAATTTTGGTGGTTTGACGGTTCAGTTGAGCATTTCCAGAGGCTAAGAGTTGTGTTAGGAAACAGAAATGTGGCCTAGAAAGAGACTTTGTTTCCTTGGCTACTGTAGAGGTGTGAAAAGTCTCAGGGGCTTCGTGCTCAGATGAGAGGAATGTCAGAGGACAATTTGGGATGGCATAAGAACAGACGATTGATTGGCAGCGGACAAGAGAAGCAAAGAGTTGTAAAGGAAACCTGAGCTCCATGCACAGCAAATCACCGCCTCTCCTACAAGTTGTTTGTGCTGAAGCATAAAATATCTACAACTCCACCAAAATAATTAACCAAACCTTGGTTGAAAGAGAGTTTTCTTTATACAGTAGACAAGCTTGGTTGAACCTTTCGGCAAAAGAGAAACGTGGAGAAGCCACATGTAGCTCAAACGGACAAAATGTCCATCCTCTACAAAGACATCCTTATGCCCAGGAATGAACTGTTGACCGGTGAGACAGAGAGAGGCTGTTGAAGTCATTACAGACCGGGCGATGTATGCAGCTCTGCATCCCAGAGGCCTCAGCGTCCAGGGTTAGGGTCAGACAGAGCCATTAGCAAAGCAGTGGGCCTCGTCAGTGAAATTACTGCCTTAAGGAAACATCCTGTAAGTCAGTACTGCACAGCAGGCAGTCTTTGTCTACCAGAGATTAAGTTGCTTTTTTTTCTCGGCCTGCAGAGGCAGATGCAGACCCAGTCTCAACAACCAGGGACAACCAGGACACCATGTCTGGAGAGCCACCCAGTGACATCACCACCAAAGATCCTTTCCAGGGTATAACGGAGCAGCCCTTCACCTTCGACTACGAGGACACCACACACTCCCATGCCATGGAGGAGGAGGAAGGTAAAGCTGACAGTTGATCAGTTGAGTTACCAAATACGTGTCAATCTTGTGTATTCAGATGGTTAAAACTGCATCTCTTCCTGTGTGTGTGTGTGTGTGTGTGTGTGTGTGTGTGTGTGTGTGTGTGTGTGTGTGTGTGTCTGTGCAGGGGTGCTGGGGCCAGGGGCCATCACAGCCATTGTTATAGCAGTCTTCCTGGGAGCGTCTGTCCTCCTTGCCCTCATCGTCATCACACTCAGGAAGTTCACCACCTCCTAGAGTGAATGCCTCCCATCTTGTGTGTGTATGCATGTGTGTGTTTGTATGCCATGAGTGTGACAACATTTTCTCTTGTGCCTCTCATCTCAATCTCTGAACTCACCCCTCGTCTTTCTTTCAACCATGAATTTGTGTCTTTCGCCGTAGATGCTAAGAAATTGTGGCAGGTCCCTTGACTGACTGTTACTCCTGTAAACTCGCTCTAATTGTTGCTCAACGTGTCCACTTGTTACTAAAGGTGTGATGTTAGAAACTGGCTGGCTCTTCCAGTGGAAATCATAGCATGTCCATGTCATTTTAATTTTGTTCAGCTGTCTTACATGCACACTCTAAAGGGGTTTTTAATGTTTGTGGGCTGTTTGTTTCCTGATAGTCTTTCCCTTATGTTGAGAGTTTGATGTGAAGCATGCTGTATGTGTTTGCTTTTATTTGTTCAAGAAGTGTATGTGCTTTTGTTAGTCTGTGTCTTATAGGTATTTTTTTAGATTTACGTGCCTAAATGAAATTGAGGTCTTTCACAATGACTTCACCTTGTGCCAAAACTATTTCTAAAATATCCCCTCTGTGTCACCCGTGTACAAGTCTTTAAGTTTGTGTTGCACCATTAACAAACATTTGTAGAGTCAAAAAAAGGAGAAAACATTTTTAAAAAGGCTTCTTCGATGAATGTAAACAGGGTAGTCGGGTTGTTTGTTCTACCTGCAAAGCAAATATACAGTTAGTTGAGTGCAAACACACATTCATCCTCGCTCTGAGTGTTTGTAGTTTTTTGTTGTTTTATTTGCAGGAGGGGGGAATTTATTTCAGTAAAATTATTTTGTGTTTTTCTATACGCCTCATTGTCCTCAGTACCCAGCTATACAGCTGGATGTTGTCATGGTAATGTCACTGCCCAATTATTTTGTTCAAAATTCCAGATGAATAAATAAATACAATCACATGCCAAACTTGTGTGAGTACCATGTGGAGTTTTTTTTTTTTTTTACACATGACCACTGAGTCAACACAACAGAATGATATTTATATATATATTTTTATACATATATATATATATATATATATATATATATATAATTATAACCAAGTCAGTCAGTTAGCATTGAGCTATTTTATGGAAAACAGTTTGTGACCTTTTGATAAAAAAATACATTGATACAAAATCATCAAGTGCAACATTTACTTAAATATAAAAACATGCAGCAGCGAACATTAATGGTAAAAATGTGTGTGTCTCAAACAGTGTTGGTAATAGTTACTCAATATATTTAATATATTAATCATTACCCTTTAAAAAGTAATATATTTACTTTACTTCTTACCCCTGCCAACAGTAATTAGTTACACTACTAGTTGTATTACTTTTCTGCTGCTCCCCACAAAATAAAATGGTGGTAATTGTGTCCTTTCTCCCCAAAATTCAGATTTATGACGATTAAAATCCAGTTTTGTTATGGATTATTTCTAACTTCCAAACTAGTTTCCTCCTCTATTACAAAAATGAATCCAAGGATGTGACTGGATAGTGGGATGTAAAATAAAGTTCACAACAAAAGTAATATTGTAACAAATCTTTTTTTGGAGGAGTAACTGTAATATTGTTACTGAAATGTATTTGTTATTAGTTACACTATTAGTTACTTGGGGAAAGTAATATTGTTATTAGTAATGAGTTACTGCCCAACACTGGTCTCTAGTAACTTTACAAAACAAACAATCCGAAGCCTTTAAGATCCCAAAACGTATTCAATTTGAAGTGAGAACAGATTTGTGTTAAAAGACAATCGGCTTCACTTCAGTCACAAAACAGTAGGTGACTGTAACTGGCAGCCATCTTCACTTTCATTTACAGACAAAAGGCTGTCGTCTTCCAAAAGACATCTTACCTTAATGTGCTCTAAACCTTTCTGATATATTCCAGTTCAAAGATATTTCTCTGGTACAACTTTTGTGTTGTGTTCTCCACAAACATCATCATTAGCATGTCACTTAGCTTACGATAAAAGAGGCAAACACTTTCTCACACTATAGTTAAGTCATCTCAGCACCTGAAACCAGGAAACCCTCAAACTTAATCACAGTCTAAATCTGCTACTGCTACATCTCACAAACTTGAAAGACTGTCTGGAAAGCTTTGCTTTCAGTCTTTTTTTTTATATAAAGGAAGACACACTCAGACTAATACCAGTACTAATAACAGTCTGAGTATAGAAACCACAGTAGAGTTCACAGGAAACTGACTATAAACAAACTAGTGTCTGACCTAAAAAAATCAATAAATTTAAAAACAAGACAAATAGAAATACAAAGTCACCTGCTTCAGGCCTTTTCTTCACGTGCTACAACAACCATGTTCTTCACCGTATTCCCGATCGATGGTAAAAAAATAATCATCTCAACATACACTAAGTTTAGTAAGCACCTACGTTCACAAGATGCAGTAAACAATCACAGCCTGTGTGATTTAATCTTTATATAGTGATGGAAATTCCAGTCTGAGGAGATAACACAACCTCACATAAATACTCAATGGGAGACCCGTGGTGTTAGTTAATGCTACAGTTTCCTCAATGTTCCTTTATTGTATCCTGTTTAAGATTGTATTTGCTTTTGATATTTGGCTTTTTAGTCTTTGAGCTATAATCTTTAGGGATGTGGTTGTGGGCAGTCTGTTGGCCCACCACACTGGATGGATTGAGATAAAGTTGTGTTCAGACATTGACGGTTCTTTAAGAACAAAAAAATTTATCCAATACTTTATGACCAATTACCTGCAATGATCCTGACATTCCCAGCAGCCTCAGCTGTACTTTGTGTTTAGTTCTAATTAGCAAAGGTTAGCACGCTCACATGTTCACTCAGATGGTGAACATCACCGTGTTAGCACTGCCACTGGGAGCATGAGAACATTTAGCTTAAAGTACATCTATGGCTAATAAAAACCTCCCAGAGCCACTGGGTTGTGTGTGGTTTTATTTTTAGGGCTGCAACTAATAATTATTTTCATTATCGATCTATTTGCGTGTTATTTCTTTAATTAATTAATAAATTGTTTAGTACTTTACTAGTTTACTCAGTGTACAGTGATATAAAACTGATAAAGGCAGCAAATCGTAACATTTGACATTAATTAATTATTTTAGCTCTAATTATTGTATTTCCTATTCTATGAAACAAGTCTCAGCTCTTAAAACACAATATATATTTATCATTGTGAGTATTACTCGTGCTATTAATTTCCTCTGATGTTATAAATACAAATGAAATCTTCTGTTCTACAGTAGCAGCTTGCAGTGAGCACACATGCATGTATCTTTAAAACTGCTGGATGAATTCGCCTCTGCTTTGATTTCCAACGGCTAAAATACACATTTGAACACATATGCATGATGTGTGGCATGACTCAGGAAGTGGTGATGAAACAAAGAGAAAGCAGAAGTGTGTCTGGCACAGTGCAGACAGTCAGACAGAAACAGTTGACTGAGAAGCTGGCATCCGTAAGGTAAGAGGACGAGATTTCACATTTTCCATTGCACAAGACACCTGGTTAGACTTTTTAACAGCTTCAGTTAGTTGTCAATAATGGACCAAACGTGTGTGGCACTTTTGTTTAAATGTTTAAATTAGAAGATCTTGGTGTTCTTGATTCATTGCTAATTTGCTCAAATGAGAAAATATACAATAAGTAAGGAATGATGATAAAGGAAAGATATAAAGGTGGATGATTTTTGAATGTTTTTAGATAAACTGCCACAGAGCTGAGAAATACTGTATGTTAGGTCTTTCTCTGCAATTATTCTCTCCTCAGAGTGGTGGTAGCTAAGTTTTCTGTCACAAGCTGACATTTCGCTCCAATGACGACTGCAGAATAACTATTTTCTGTGTTTTGTTTTGTTCAAATCACTAATTCCTCAGATCTTTATGAGACTTTACATTAGAGTTTAATTATAGAGAGGTGCACTGAAAAGGTCATGTATGTTAAAACATGTACAGTGTAAACGGCATGTTGCTGCAGGTGCCTAATCTAATAGAGAAAAGCTATTTCCTTTTAAATCTCTGTCATTTCCAATTTAATTAGACAGAAACATTCTGCATTCCTGCACACCTGCCTCACACAGTAGGGAGGAGTATCAGAAAGGTAGAAAACATAATTTCCCGCGCACTTTCTAACTTGCAAAACATTTGTTTACAACGTTTCAAACTAATATAAAGGATGTTCTCTGGCTGTTTGTGGTTCAGAAACCAGATACATAAAACAAGTTCACAGCTAGTAAACCCACACAGCTGACTTTTAGTCGCTTGGAACAGTGTCTCTTACAGATGTTTCTGTGTGGGAACACAGAGTAGCGACAGGAAAGACAGATTCATTTTGAAATTGTGACAGAGCCTTTGAAATTAAATCAAATCAAACTATTTTCCCAGCAGCAGCAGCAGCAGCAGCAGCAGCAGCAGCAGCAGCACCATGGCAAGCAACTGTTCATTTCCCTATGTGGACTCAGTGATGGGGTATATGGAGCTGATCATCTACGTCCCCACATTCATCCTTGGTTTGATTCTCAATGTTGCAGCGCTGTTTGTGTTCTGTGTCTTTCTGCGAAAATGGACGGAGTCAACTATCTACATGACCAGCTTGGCTCTGATGGACGTGCTCCTCCTCTTTCTCCTTCCCTTCAAAATGTACGCCACCCATCACCGCTGGTCTGCCTACCTCCAACCTTTCTGTTCAGCCTTGGAAAGCTTGTATTTTGTTGGGATATATGGCAGCATCTACACCATCATGTGTATAGCTGTGGACCGATGGGTGGCTATCTGTCACCCGTTCAAAGCCAAGCAACTGCGCTCGCCCAAAGTAGCTCTGGGGACCTGCTCAGCGGTCTGGGTAGTAGTGCTAGCAGTTATCTTCCTAACCATGAGTGGCTTCAGGGAGGCCGGGCACAAAGACTTCCGCTGCTTTCACACTTTTTCAACAAAAGGCTGGAGCCCTCCAGTGATCATTTCTTTGCTGTTGTTTGGGTTCCTGCTGCCTGCGCTGGTGCTGGTTTGCTGTTCAGTCCAGACCATCTGTGCACTTCAACAGTCCGGCCAGCGCAGCCCAAAGAGCCAGGCCTGTGTAAAGATCATCTACAGCAGTCTGAGTGCCTTCCTGGTGCCTTTCACCCCCAGCCACCTGGGCATCTTCCTGCAGTTCCTGGTGAGATCAGCTGCAAGTTATTTAAAGTAAACTGAACTGTACAGTGAAAGTGCAAATAAAGATGACACAATAATCTCACCTCAAGGTCCAGATAGTAGATCTCATCACACAATCTTCAATCAGCAGATGAGGTTTCACCACCAAGTTCTCATACAATCGCAAATCTTAATTTTTGCTCATTTCCATTTTTTCTGGCTTCTAAAATCCATAGAAATGTACCAAGCAACGAGTAAAAATCATAATTCATTTTGCGATTAACTAATGATTTAAATTACTAACTATATTATACTTATACTGAATCATGGCCACAAGAAAGGGACTGGTGGATTATAAAGTCACTTTATGACAAGTAGCTTTCTCATGGACTGTACTTGCCAGCTTGTGTATCAGGAGTACCCGCTTTGTGTTACATCGCTCTCAGAAGTAGCGCTTCCTGCCTGGGTTTTTATACTAAATCAAACAAACTACTTAACTTTTATAGCAACAGGCATACGAGGCAGGGCTGTAACCTTTTTTTTTTGCATGAAAAATGACAAACCCATAAACATATGGTTATACTAATTTACACATTTCTTGGGTGAAGGTCTTATTTTTACAATATAAATGTTACATAAATATGAGGTCTGCATATCTAACCAGCAGAAGCACATTATGCAATATGTTTTTTTTATTTTAGTATCAAAATAAGTCAAACTAATCATTGACGTCCTGGCAGACTCATTTTGCACCTGTTTTTCATCATAATTGAAAGCGACACATAATAACCTCAGTGTCCTCAGTGGGTAAGGCCCTGATACTCAGATTGTGTGTGTCATTTTTTATTCAGATGTAAGAGATATTATTTGGAACAAAGTCCTTATTACATACTGACAAATGCAACCACAAAAAAAGCAAGTGAAGCGAAAGTTTAAAGAGATCATCTTCAAAAAAAAAAAAGCCTGATAAGAACATGAAACAGTTTACACAGCTGGGTTCCCTCTGCTGTAAAAGGGTGTAAGATTTCCATGCACGTAGGAAGTATGGTAGACTAATGTTTCTCTGTCTTCCATTTAAGGTGCACCAAAAAGTGATTCAAGACTGCAGAACCATGGGCCACATCAGCCTGTTCCTACAATTATCCTTGTGCCTGTCTAACATCACCTGCTGTCTGGACGCTCTGTGCTATTACTTCATCGCTCATGAGGTGAGGAGCCCCAGAAACAGCTTCAGGTTGTCAGCGATCAGCCAAAGAAGAGCCACTTGCAGCACTTCAGAGGTCTGAACACGGAACAAAGATAATTAAAGTTAAAATATATAATTTGTCCTCAGAGGACTGTGAGTAGAGAATACTGGAGCTGGCATCTTGAACTTTAGGGCAGAGCAGTGAAACTGAAAAAGGGGCCAGTATTGTTTTCAGTAGCTGATGAGAAAATGTGGCGTTAAGAGTAATGGGTGGAAATAAAGCAGGTCAGAGTGCAATCTAACCACAGTGCTGAGAGTAAAGCTTAAGGGAGAGGATTTGACAAGCACTGATACATGATTTAGTCCATTGACAGGAAGCCGGTAGGCACCTTTTTAACCTCAGAGAGATCTGTTACCCATAGACTGCAAAAAGACAATCTGCCAACAAGCCACATTGTGACTTAAATGAAGAACTTTGTGAGATGGCTCGAAAGCACTCTCGGGTCATCCAGTCCTACACAATGACAATGAGTGAGAAACTGATTAAGGAGTACGTGAGCAGAGCTTTGAATTCTACTGTATGCATTTAAAGTCAAGTCAAAGATATGTAAAAGGCTGCTCAGAAGAACGACTTCAGATCAGGGCCGATACATTTCGGACCAGTTTGGCTCAACAGGTATTGTTAGTAAATTGTGAAACGTCTGATCAGACATCTAATTATGAAAATAATCATAGGTTTTATTTATATAGCATCATATATAAAATAAAAAACACAATAAAATACATAAAAAGTCAACTTTAAAAAGGTAAATAATGAAAACGTAAGCAAATTAAACTATTAATTTGATTTTAATTTCCATATTCACTTATCTAGTATATTTAAATAATCATGATCTATAAATCTCACAGTCACCAACCAGTTGAGATCATGAAACACATTAATGTAAGTAATTGATATTCATTAATAATTATGTAGAATTACTCTCTTAATGTCAACAGATTCTTATAAACGTAAAGGTTTAACAGTAAAACATTTAATTACTATCTTAATTATCGATGATTTCTTAGTTTGGTTCTTCAGCTCATTGTTATTGAAATATTATTAACTTGTTTTCCATCAGATCCATCATTGATTAATAAAAAGTAATTATGAATATAGCATCTTAAAATAGATTTAACTTTTAAATTTTGGGTATTCTGACATGGTTATTTTTTAGCCTTTGATGCGAAGAGAAGATACATTTATGTGTCCGTTCTGTAAATCATTATAGAAATAAAGCCCGAGGCTGAGGGCCAAAGGTTTTCTGTACAACGTGTCTGTATAATTTAGAAATCTTCTCTGACCTTATTAATGGAAAATCAAAGAATAATGTCGTAAAGGGAGATTACCGTTTTCAGTTACAGATTGTATTTCTTATAAGGCAAGGTCGGCTGACAGTTTTACGACTGCAAGCTTACTATGTTTGTTTTTATTTGTTCTTACATATTAGTTTCTTTAAACTCACCACAATGTGACATGCTGTCGGTCATGACACATCTACATATAATTTTATATTTTTTTATTTTTACAATGTAGCTTTAAATGTGCAATAATACTATAAGAATTGTTAAAAGCCATCTATTAATAGCAGTCACCATGACCTATGTACAACTAAGACTGTTGATGAGACAGTTTTGATATTAGTATGTTTATAGGCTTCCTTTGATGTATGTGAATGCAGTCAAAACTAAACCCAAATGGAAAGCTGTACATGCGGTACATTGAGCCACTCTCTGTCTTATTTTGTTAAATAGAGTCGGCCTTATTGTAAAAGTGAAAGGCTTTAATAAGTCTACATAGCGTTCCATTAGGGGTTTTATTGTATATTAATGCTGTTTTCTTTTTGTTTAAAATAACGAGTGTAAAGCTGTCTTCTGAAAACAGAAACAAGACATGAAACCTGTCACGTTTTTGGTTTATTTGCATTACTTCCATCCTAATACTTTCATCTTGCACTAGCCTCCTCATTATTGAGTTTCAATGTTATTTGCTTGTGCTCAATTCCGTTTTATTTTCATTTCTATAATTTTTCAGTAAAATGTGTTATTGTTAAGCAATGGGGCTTCTTGATCTAATTGTTGTGTGTTGAGTGTTCTTCTGTTCTTCTTCTGTGATATATAAAATATAAAATTAATATTTATCAGAGCAAAGTTGTTGACAGGAGGACAGCACAGGTCTAACTGACCCATAGAACGTTTATATTTTTACAAAATATGCTTTACTTCTATGGTTCTCTCTTCTAAGTTTTTTACTTTTACTTGACTTTTCTCAACAGTTTGCATGACATCTATATTAAAAAAAATTGAGAAACATTACTTCCATTTTCAAATGAAAAACAGCTAACCACAAGAGATTCATCCTGTGACGTGTTACATTTACCACAAGGAAGCTGCAATCATCCACATATCATAGGCAACGTATTAAAATATGTGATGCATGTCCCGGTGAACAGATCAGGCCAGTGCGTTTGTCCCAGCTACATTATGTCTGTACTAGCTGTGAGGAAGTTTACAAAGAAAAATATAGTCTTTGTTTCCCTTTTTCAAAGACTGGCTGCCTTTTTGCAATATTTACATATTATAGTTTGCACAATTTCCAATTATTGTAACCCATCATTTGCAGATTCATGTATGCTTTACTGAAACTGATACTGATGAACATTCAGAAGACAAAACATTTTTGATCATTTATTCTTAAAGCAGTGAAATATTACAAGAAAAATCGACTGTACAGCAAAATAAGGTATTCAAGACGATGAAATATGAGCACATATCACATGTCTCTCTCAAAAGAGACCTTTTTGCTCCTGGTTGTACATTAGAAAGACACCCCAAATCTTTTTAAAGTTGGGACAAATCAACAATGTAGAGATTATAATGCCAAGATAGGAAAGACTGGGAACTGGCAAGAGCTAAAGACAACAGCCAAATCCAAGTAGAGGAGGAAGAGCAAGACAAAATGAGTTTTAGCCTTTGATATCATCTACAGTAAAAAGCATTCATTTTAAATATTTCATATACCCTTAACAATAAGCATAGCATTGCTGACTGCAGACTTTGGTTCCTTCTGTCCCTCTAAAGCACTGCTACTAATTACAGTCTAAAGCCATTATATCCAAGGAGTGGGAAAAGTGTGACACCAGAGGAAATAAAGAGACAAACCATAAAGAAATGTTCACAAAACAAGTCGATTTCAGATAAAAATCTATGCCTGTAACAATATGTTCAAAATCAATTTACAGTATATATTGCTTAGGAACAATCAAAGTTATATACACCATTCATTAATGATATAAACCAGCAAAGAAACGTCTAAACTACATGAGGTATGTTTTGCCATTTTCTGACATTCAAAACAAAATAAAATAACAACAAGACAAAAATATTAACTTGAGTGCACAGTGCAAGCAGCTCCCAAGTATCCTTACCACCACCCACAGTACACTGGGTTACTAAATAACAATAAGGACAAAAATAAAATAAAAGTCATCTGATGAAAATGTCACAGACTGACACACATTAACATTAACATCTGATGCACAATTTGACAAGCTACAGATATATCCAAACATTTATAACATCGTCCAAATATACAGACAGTCTGAATAAAAAAGACATTAACATTGTACATTAACAATAAAAGAGCATTTCCAACTTGAAACAAACAGACATTAAAACTGTAACTCAAATTGTTGGACAAATACTTGCTCTTAAAGTGCAGTTAAAAGCCTAAAGAATTCAAGGAGGTATGGTTTGAAATTGGCTTCAGTGTTTGATGGCTGTGATTTCCGCTTCAGATTTAGACCCTGTCGCAGATGACAGTCTCAACCACAAAAGTGTTCTCAAAGTGACGAATGCTATGACATTTCTTCGTCTCGCGCCTCTCGATACCTGGAAGAGAAAAGACGACATGTTTAGAAAATCTGTTCAGTACTGAAACTGCAAGATAGCTGTGTTCATTATACTTCTGCTGTTGCCATGCCTACACTCGCGTCCATTTTGAATCAGCAGTGGTGATCCCCGCAGATTACATCCATATATGTACTCAGGGGGAAGTTTGTTGCATCATTTCTGAAGATCTCACTCCAATTAAAGGCAGCAACGACAGAGATATTGCTCATGTGCATCACTACCACCTCCATAGTGTGTGGATGTGTCCACTGTACTAGTGACTCACATAGCAGGAAGTTCCCAGGCTGTGCCCACACACACACACACACTGACATGAGAATCATACTGCCAGGCTGTTAGAGGAGGATTTACACTGCAGACACACTGTCTAAAATAGGAAGCCCCTATTTGGTTCTGGTTGTCATTGTTTTCTGCATGGTCACTTGCTCTCTGCTTGCTCCTACACACCAAAACTGAACACCGGATTCCCTGTGACTCACCGGAGGAATACTTTCCTCCTCGAGTACAGAGAGATCACAGTGACCCAGCACACGTCACAAGACTCAACATCTCACAAGGGTGGGTGTGAAAGAGCTGGATAAATCAGCGGAAGTGACCCCGCCACTCATCATCACTCATTATTTAGCATCTCATATTGCCTGAGTGTATTGGAACAGGAAGTGTGTACTCACGTCGGTGCTGGTTGCGACGTCTGAGGCGGTAGGTTTCTTTGCCGTAGCACAGCCTGTGGATGAATGGACCCAGCTGCCGCATGTTCCTCACCCTCCCTGTCACCATCATCTCCTCCTGGATGATGTAAGTCTGAGGAAGGTACGTCCCTCTCTGTGGCAAAGAGACACAAATGAATCACTCATCAGTCGATCTGTCTGTGGGAGGAGGATGGGAACATGCTGTCCTTCACTCTCTCCGACAGCCATTCATCTCCAACAATGCTCTCACAACGGCTTCGTCAGTGACATCAACAGCTAACGTAGTGAGTGCCTCACCTTGACATTGATGAGCAGCTCCCACAGGTTCCTTGGAGGCATCACCAAGGTTGTGTTCAGCTCAGTGATGTAGCATTTGTCCAAAGCAATGTCATGATAGGCTGTAAGGCCCTGGAATAGATTAAATACAGGTTAAAACCTAAGCCATAATGAAACACTTGTAATGCAAACACAAAATGTAATGAGAGGAAACCAGTTAGCATATGGTTGCCTTACCCTCTGAAAGTCATGGATTATATCAGCAGGGTCGCTGCCTCCAAAGTGTGGCACAGGTACACTGATCTGCTCGTAGTTGTCATCAAGGTAGATGCCGACATTCTCCTCAAGTTCTTGCCGACCCCTCAGAGGAGCATACACAGAGTCCTCGTAGATTACCCGACAGTGGAACAAGCTGTCTTCTGGGATCTGCTAATGGTACGCAACAGAGCTGAGTTAGCATGTGATGTGTGAAGGTTGTGTGTTTTTAAAACATTTTAGGTTCTTAACAATCGTTGCCACTGGGTTCAGGATACAATGTAATAAAGGGAGGCAGAGTGAACTGACCTGAGGTATAAAGTAGTAGCGATAGACATAGATAGAGGCCAGCACCAGTCCTGACATGAAGACCACCAGGCCAAAGGTGAGGCAGCAGAGGCCAGTTGGAAAAGGCTTCTTGGGCCTGACAGGAAGAACCAGCTGCTCCTGTGAAGAGAAAAGAGAAAGGCAGATTGGTTAGAGGACAAGTCAAGGTTGACAAGGAGAAGTCAGCTAGTTAGCCAAGAGATTGTGGTATGAACCGGAACCTTTGGCGTGACCACAAGTTTTTAAATTATACAAAATATGTGCATAATGTTGCAAATGGTTTTCCATTTGATGTAGATTTTAGTTTGATGTCTTATGTCCTATCCAGTTCTATAACGGTGTATCAGCATCAGTGGACGTGATGTCCTCTCACACTGCCATGCTTTAAAGTCGAAATCGTAATAGAGTCAATTCTGATAAGAGGCGGTTGCCAAGTCGTTAGTCAGAGGAGGAGATCTGGTAGACGTAGGACGGACTGGAATGAGACATGCCAGATGCCCACCCACAGTCTCTCAGTCAATCTGCTGCCTCTCCCTACTACTGTTGCTATGGAGAGCGGAAGCAGGGAGAACAGATTGTGCCAGGCTCTGACGAAGACGCTGGCACGTGGCCGTCTGGGTCTATTCTTAGAGGCCTACTTCCACGCTCCATATTTGCAGTTTGCTAGCACCCTCAGTGGGAGTCAAAATGAGAACAATTGCATGGAGCAGGAGTCCCTCGGCAGAGGCGGACATATTAATAGATCTACACACATTGGCTCTGACGCCTAGCCTACAGTCGCAGCCAATCTGAATCCACACAGCATTTGACATCATGTCTTATTCTTCGCTTGACGTAGCGAACAGGTGAAAGGTGTTTGCAGAAGTGATGGATGCGTCATCAAGTGGTATTCATTGTGTACAGTGTGTTAGGGGAAGAAAAAAAGAACGAGGTGTAGACAGGCGTACATTGTGTGTACCACATATCTAATTATGTTTAACTCCTGGGAGGTAGTCCAGAAAGGAAGCTAAGAAAAGCTGAATTTATTGTGACAAGCCAGACTGTCTAAACATTCAATTTAAGCCGTTCTACTATCATAACTCAGCAATAATATGAGGAAAAATCAAGACACCATCATGTGCACAATATCTATCTCTCTATCTATCTACTTTAACATTTAGTACTTTCAATACAGCTTTATTCTGTTCAAATTGAGCTCTATGTTTTAGAACTGCAGTCTGAAAATGAAGGACCTGGGATCTTCCATGTTGCAGATTAGTTTCAGGCTGTAAATTGCCAGTGTAACACAATGAGATGCTTAGTTCCTTTCTGAACTCCCCTGGTCATTTAAAGCCAATCTACTGCTTACCTGCCCTAGAACTTGACTTTAACTAAAGTAAAACTACAAATTTTAACTCTTGACCTTGTATAATGCCAATTTGAGTGAGGAATCAGTAAACTGCCTGTAGACCACGCCTACTGTTTACATACAACACAAAATAATCCTGGATTACCATTTTCACTCACAGGCTCGTGCACTCTCAGGCGCAACCTGCAGGATTTACGTGGCATAACACCTCTTGACGTCACTGATTGGTGCAGTGACCGCATCTGACAGCTCTGTTGTTTTCTCATCTCGACAAAAACTAACATACAAATGTTTTAAAAGAGGCTTTTTGCGCCTCTGCCTCCCGCCTGTACTTAAACAACGGGGGATTGTTCCTTTTATACATGCATACTTTATGAACCACTTAAGAGTAATGGTGTCATATTCTGCTGAAGGCGCACATACACAGGACAGGGCAGCCATCTGCAGTGTGTCCTCGAGGTGGCCAAACAAGGTGACGTAATGTCAACATCCCCAAGCGGGGATGGCCTGCACTGTACAACATTATTAGTCTCTATTACTGTCGGCCAGCAAGAGCAATATAATAAACTGCAGTGTGATTGTTTAACCATCCAGCTGCATTAAGGTTATAGTAAAAAAAAAAAAAAAAAAAAAAAGATGCAATATATTACTTCATCTGTCATCATGGATTACAAGCGTACAATTAAGTGACATGATGATGCATGGACAGACAAATCAAACATTAGTCTGCAGATAAGAATAAACAGACATAACGTTAATCTACTTATCTTCTACCTGTGCAGAAGGAGTGGATGCTACTCGTGCTATACTGACACACAGGACAAATGCCACAACACAAGACAAACACAAACAAAAGTGTGCAAACTCACGTGAGCCTGAGGTATAATGATCTTGTGTCCATCGACCTCTTTTTCAGGCTTCTGCGCCGACACTGGCTGTAAAGTGATCTTCACCATGTTTGTCTGTTCGGTGTGTAATTGCTTTATCTCGTATCTGATTCAGTGCGCTGGTTTCATCCACCGAGCCGGGAAGATTATATAGCGGAGGACCAGTCTCGCCCCCGGGACTCAGTGACATCAGAAGAGCGTCTTCTCTGACGAACAAGTATTGTGTGGGTCTGAAGGAAAAGCCGCCTCGCCGCTGTCAAAATAAGAGTCCAAGACTGGCTAAAACGTTTAGATTTAGCAAAACATGCACACTTGTGAGCTATTTGGTATGCATATAAATATACTTTAATGTTTTAAGATATTTAGGATGAAAAAAACCTAATTGTATCTCCTGTGAGTTGATATTACACAACGTCGTGCCCTTATTCTGAAGGAAAGTGCCCGATATGGTAGTGCTTTCCGTATTTTATTTAAAGCTGCATCTCCTCTTCTCAACCATGTTCCCAACACTATCATCCGGAAATGTAGGGATGTTTCAAACTCTCAGCCAGCTACTAGACTGCAATAAAGTTATCACTAGGTCACTACTACTATATAATACTACTACTACTAATAATAATAATAATAGCTTTTAGCCCTTACTTGTTGGCTCATCTAGGCATGTAATGTATTGTGCAGTACTGCATACTGTGAATTATGTGTGCCTTGGTTTGAGAACTTAATAAATATTATATATAATAATATACTTTGTGAATTGTACTATACATGTATAGTACAATGTAATGCATTGTAATCCGAACATTTAGTATAGTATAAACCGGTAAGTATACCTCAAAGCAAATCTTACATGATTAAAATAGGTCACTGCATGTGGTTATAAAGCAGGTATTGTAGTAAATAATTTAAATATTTGATCATTATTTAGCTAAATGTAATCCTAATTTCATTAATTAAACTTTGAAACATCACGTCAAATGATCAGATGTAACTATTAATTTTTTTTCTTTAACTAAACTTACTAAAACCTTATGGCCACCTTTGTGCCCTATCACCCAGCAGCCAGACTTTCTGTAACAGTACAACTGTAAACCAGACACATTTACAAATGCATGTCCCCCCCCCCCTGAAATTCTAATTACACAACACATGCAAATTTGCACAGACATGCACACAGCTCTCGTCACCATATGTGAATAGTCAAGGAAGTGTGTCCGTATGACTCACTACAGACTTAAGCAACACAGTGTGTTACATTTGAACAATATAGGAAAACTGAGTTGATTATGCGACAATAAACTACTCTGAAAAGCTCTACTTACAAATGATACTAGAATAGGCAATGTAAACATGTCATTAAACCTTCCAAATACAGGGATGATGTACAATAGAGCCAACACAACTCTGTCTAAGGCTGCTTGTTCATCAGGGTCTTTACACTCTTTACACATGAGAGTAATGTACTTGACAAATGGCTCAAATCATCCAATTCACATTAGTTTGTTTTGCTGTTGTTTTATTTTTTACAGTGGGAGAGGAGCACTATTACCCTTGTCCTCATAAGTGGACTGATGGCTAACAATCAAACATGAAATAGGCCCAGCTGACTAATGATGCAATGTGAGAATTGGCAGATATGTGGCCTATTGCTGACACACATTAAAAGAAAGTGCTTCAGAAAGTTAAAGGGTAAGTGCTGAAGTGTATTTTTTTTGCAAGAGGAGATTGATATACTTAAATAACCTGCACCTGAATGATGTAGAGTGTAGAATGGTTGTTGTCATGCATTTCTATAAAAGATCAATGCTGAAGTATTTCCACTGATTTAATTATATCTTATTTGTTTCTGCCTTGGCAACAGAAGTTGCTGACCATTTTTGGAGACCCTTTCTGATATAATTTATCTAAGCAGTTCATGTTTTTACCTTATATACACTGTAAGTTCATATACTGTAGGTTTATATATGTGTAGGTTCATACATTATATAATATACACTGTAGGTTCAGACCTTACATTCACTGTAGGTTCAGACCTTACATTCACTGTAGGTTCAGACCTTACATTCACTGTAGGTTCAGACCTTACATTCACTGTAGGTTCATATACTCTAGGTTCATACACTGTAGGTTAGGTCAGATCAAAATTATATAATATACACGTAAGTTCTTATACTGTATTTATATATGTGTAGGTTAACATTATATAATATACACTACCTTACATCAGTAGGTCAGACCTTACATTCACTGTAGGTCAGACCTACATCACTGTAGGTTCAGACCTTACATTCACTGTAGGTTCATACACTGTAGGTTCATACGCTGTAGGTTCATAAATTATATAATATACACTGTAAGTTCTTATACTGTAGGTTTAGACCTTTCATTCACTGTAGATTCAGACTTTACATTCACTGTAGGTTCATACACTGTAGGTTCATACACTGTAGGTTCAGACCTTTCATTCACTGTAGCTTTAGATTGAAATTGGGGACAAAAGCTAACATGACCACTGACTACTGGCGGGGACGAGCGTTGCGCGCCCTCGATGTGCCTTGCTCTCGTAGCCAGTTCAGCCATTCACATGTAAATGAACCGTCATATATATCTAGTACATGCCCCCTCGGAGGTGCATTGAGGAGCCCAGTCTGTCTGCAAGCTTTGTTGGCCGCTGGGATCGCCCGGCCATCTGTCCCATTGACAAGCTGTAACGGCTCTTTGGATTACCCACCAACCTCCCGTGCAGTGGGCTTCTGGCAGCGCCTGGGTTAAACTACAACAACATGGCCCCCATCCGTAACAACACAAACGGAATGGACAGAGGTGATAACTGCAGTGGGATCAACTCTGACAGAAAGGTACGGGCCTGTGTGAGAACTTAATGCCAATATTTCTGCTTCAACTTGGCCGATAACTGACTAAAGTTGACTCCATTGTCCTTACTGTTTTGGCAGATGAGGAAACCTCTGGTGGAGAAGAAAAGAAGAGCTCGCATCAATGAAAGTTTACAAGAACTCAGAGTTCTCATCGCGGATGCCGACGTAAGATAATATCTATATATATGTTTTAAGGCCCCTGCCTTATGTGGCGTTGTTTCTTCTAAATTAACTAACGTGATGTCTTGTTTTTAGCTGGTTAGCTTTGTTTTGCCAGTGCTTGTTTCTTACGCTTTTTTCTGGTCACCCGCTGCAGTTGCAATCAAAGATGGAGAACGCCGAAGTGCTGGAGATGACAGTGAAACGTGTGGAGAGCATCTTGCAGAGCCGGGCTCAAGGTAAACCCTATACTGCACATTACTGTTTACTTAAGTAAGCCATTAACCATTAATTAAAGTTATAGTTGGTTACAGTTTCGCTAAAAAGTGATTTACCTAGTGTGGCATTTTACTTTCCGCCGCCGAACAATATAGTACTTTAAAAACTAACATAACAAACTGATTTATAACGGTTGGCGCATTAATATTCTAATCAACGGCACTGCGGCCACAGGTGTGTGTGTGTGTGTGCATCTTCCGCCTCGGCTCAGCCAATCACAGCAGAGAACCAGACGTTTGTCCGTTATGCGTCCATTTGTAGTTTTAGCTAAGTTTTGAGCTAACGGTTGTTGCTTTGTTTTAATCTTCCCGTAGAGGTTGACGCTGTTAACCGGGAGGCCTGTGAGCGGTTCGCGGCGGGATACATCCAGTGTATGCATGATGTGCACACTTTCGTGTCCAGCTGTCCGGGAATTGACCCAACAGTAGCCGCGGAGCTGTTGAACCACCTCCTGGAGAGCATGCCCCTGAACGACGAGGACCGCCTCCGGGTGATGCACCCGGACTCTGTGGCGGAGTGCCCCGGCAGTAACAGCACTTGGGCCCTGCCTGAGAGCATGTACACGGCCCTGGTGTCCCCAGCACCCTCCACCACCTCCAGCGATGACCTCTGCTCTGACCTGGACGATACAGACTCGGAGCAGAGTCAGGTTTCTTCTTCAGAGGAGGCTGATAGCCAGGATGTGTTGAGCTTGCCTTCCTTAACTTACTCCAAGTCAGTGTGGAGACCATGGTAGATAAATTAAAGGAGATAGCATGTTTTAATCTACTGTAGATGATTTATTGCTCTGTGTTTAGGTTGTTTTGTGGGGTAGGCCTCAGGTGTTGTTTTGTGGGGTACGGTGCTGAACGACATCGGAGAAGCTCTTTTTGTGTAATTATTGGGGAACTACAATTGAATTCAAATGTATTTAATAAATAAAGTATGTAATTAAATCTGTTTTGCAGAGGTCAGAGAGGGTCTTCATTTGGAAGTGTATTGGCTTTATACAGGCCTGCCTTCAGTGAAGGGACAAAATGCATATGTAAATATTTACTTGTTGAATATGACTGGGCTGTATAGACGATAGCTGTCCCACTAGGAATGCATTGTTAGTTGTGTGTAAATTATTTTTTATTTAGGATTGTCTTTTAACTTTTGTATTTATAAGTATCAAATGACTGTTAGTAGGCTACCTCACCTAATACGTTTCAATAAATATCCTTTTGACTTTTGTTTTAAATTCTATTTGTGCAGCACTTTCTTCCAAAAAAGCCACATTTTCCACACACAAGGATCCCACTCTCCACCCACCCACGGCTGTTTCCAAGATATTAGTTATTACTCTGCAATAGTGGGCCATTTGTGTGCACTCTCTCTCTCTCTCTCCAATATCCCTTAGCACATTGTAGGCATTTGTGAGGTGTGAAATGAGTAATCCACTCACTCCTTATATAGGCCTCGTTGAGGACTTGGCAAATGGGTTTTATAACTCTACTTCAGCTTTTTTTTGATGTTGCAGTTTTAAAATAACATGGGAACAAATAACTTGCGCAGTCATTGAATTGTACTATGACTAACAAAGCCACCACTGTCGCGCATTCTTGTATCCTCTGATTGGTTTGTAAGAGTATGGTTTTATCATATTGTATGGATTACACTGCATATGCAGCTTTCATGCAGGGTGACAAACCAATAGTTCAGTGCATATGACTTATAAAAAGTAAATTTATACTATGCTATCCAGAAGAAGGAGGGTTAAGAGTGCCATGCTAATTCACATTCCCTTAGAAAGCTTGTGTCTGCATCCTCAGACACGACCTCTGTGGTCCTGGTGGGAGCTACAGACACCGTTCTGCCTCTGCCCCATCAGCCGCTACAAACAAATGAATAAGAAAAGACAGCAATCCTGAGCTGGGTCTTAATCCATCTGCAGTCAGATGCCTCCTCTGGTGTTCCTGTGATGTCCACTCCCAAGTGTCACTTTTTACACTGTCCACGGTCTTAAAACACCCGTAGTGAGAGGGATCTTTGGTGAAATGACAAGAAAAAGATTAACACACAAGAGTATGTAGAAGAATATTCATCCTAGTTGGGATCACATATCTCCAGTGTTGGAAAGTAACTAAGTACTTAAGTAATTAAGTGTAATTCTGAGGTACTTGCAGTTTTGTGTGTATTTTATTTCAGAGGTAAATGTAGTATTATTACATAAACTACATTTATCTGAAAGCTGCAGTTGCTACTATGCAGATTAAGAAAACAAAACACGATTAACTTATAAAATATGATTAATTATTAGAGACTAAACTGTATAAAGTATATAAAGTAGTTAAAAATAGCTCTACCCTGACCAGATACCACATACTGTTACTTTGAGTATTTACATTTTCTGCTACTTTATACTGTAATTTATACTACTTTTACCACATTTCAGAGGAAATATTCCACTTTTTACTCCACTACAATTACAGTTGAATTATTAGTTTAAAGATTAATGCACAAAATACTGCATACATGTTATAATAATATAATATGTGATGATAGAAACTTTCTTATGTGGACTTTCTACACAATGAGTAATTTTTTTGGTAATACTACGTCTGCTTCTTTATTACTACACTCAAGCTTACACAAGTGTTATTCTTTTAACTGTTTAACTCCCAGAATGTTTTTGAAAGAAAGAAAGAAAGAAAGTTATTTCATGATAACGAACTTAAAGCAGTCCGCTCGGATCTGCGGGTCTGTGTGGGGACTAGACCGGATTTGCGGGTCTCCAGAGGTGTAAATTACCGCTGCAGGAGGGCAGTTTGTTAATTTGGTTAAGGTGTGAACAGGGGAGGCTGGTGGGAGGCGGGGAGGAGGGTCGCTTTGATCAGGCCTGCCGAGCCGTGGACTGGAGGATCTGACTGTCTGCAGAGTGCATGTGAGCTATTGTTTCAGTGGTCGGCCAGACATCCGCTTACAGAGGAAAGGTGAATGTCATGACTTCAGGATGTCAAGTTTTCGGCCCATATTGATCATTTATAAATTATTATGTAGTAGCTGTTATTAGAGACTCATTTGTTTTTATCTCCTCTGTGTCTCTTTGCCCTCATAGAAGAGCAGAAACATTACAAATTTTTTTTCTGAGAGTTCAAAGTTAATCTGTCCTTTCTGGTGGTGCATTTTCATTCAGTTCATACCTAAATCAATTGCCCCCTCCTCACCATATGTCGGCAAACAGGCAATAATGTCCTACAGTCGTTTATACTCATTAATTGGCCAATTAACAGCTGCAATCTTCAGTCTGCTGTTTGTCAGATTATCTTAATATGTGCTGAATGGTCAAACCTCAATTGGAGCCTTTAAAAAACATTTCACAACACAATTAAATTCATTGTAAATTAGGCAATATTTTATTTGGAGATTTTTTAACAAATATAACAGAATATTTGCCATTAAAAAAAGAAACAAAAAGGTTGTCAGTGTCAGTTCAAATAACAGAAAGACAAATGACAAATTCGGTGAAACGCTCAAGTTGTCAAGAAGAGAAAATTACAGCATAAGCTTCAAAGTGAAGGAAAGCTCTCCACACAGTCACTTGACATCTGTCTGAGCTGCTTTATACCCATGCAATAACCCTAAACTGTGACTTCTGAAGTGGCCACATGTTTGTTCTGAACAGTGATGAGCTTCACTCTCCTCCACAGGATGCTCTTTTCCATATTTATGAGGGCCAAGATTAGACCAGTTCAAGTGTTATGTGACACACTTTTAAAACTGGGGAAAACATCAATATTCTCCTCACTTTATTTTTATCACCCACCGTAAACAACATATTTTGTGGGGATTGTCCTAATGTGGATTACACAACTCACATTTTTTAAAATAAAATATACAGTAAATATTCATAATCTTGGTCCTGCTTAAGCTGGACTTTTCCGTCATAACTTAAAACCACAAATCTCTTTGTACAGAAACAGTTATTGTAAAAAATATATATATATATGCTCAGAGTCAAAGACAAAAGTTTTGAAATGCAATAAATAAACTTTCCTTAAACGGGAGGCATCTGTGAAATCAAAGTCAGTGAAGGTTTCACAGGTGATACAGAAAAAAAGCCACATTCAGTTAGAAACTGATAGATATACATATAAAGAATGAAAACTTAAAGCTGCATCAGGTAACAGGAGACACAGCTAGCTCCAAATGACAAGAACATTTTAAAATCTGAATGAAAAGTTCCAGAAATAATAAAACATGATGGGCTGGTGAGTAAATGTAGCTTATAGTATGTGTTGCATCTGATTGTCCTTTTCCTGAAGTCTCAAATGTTTTCACCGCTTTCATCGGGTCATATATGTGCTTTAAAATGTCAATTTCATGCTACTCTGTGCTTCTTAAAATATATTATACTTAGCTCTTGCCTTTTAAATTTCCTCCCACTCATTATATGCAACACCAGAAACTACTTTGGGCAAACAGAGCAGATGTACAGTTCATGTTGTTCTTCCACAAAGTGCATTTGTGCTTGTTGGCTATGCATGACTAGAGTGACTGAAACCGAGTTGACTTAACTCCACCTGTCCTCACTACATGCTGACGTAGTTGTTATGGTAACTCAGTTGTTGTAACTGAGGAAATTGCGTCACAAAAATACTGAATTCATTCATTAGTCACGACAGTTAAGTAGACCACTGAGCCACTTCCTGGCGTGTGAATAAAGTTGTCTACAGTTGGTGGATGTTTGTTTGACCTCCACTGTGCTGCCTGGTGTATGAGCACATACTGTATTTTCCTTATTGGGCTCTGCATATAAAAAGCTTCACCTAGGTGCTGCGCATTGTTAAGTGCTACATAGAAATGAATGAATGAACGTATGTCCTCATAAAGCCCAGATCTAACTGCTGGCACCAAATACATGTTGCAGCTTATAAGCATATTAAAATAAAAGAACTGATGTCCTCTACGTATATTCACATTCTCCACAAGTCTTGACTGTTTAAGCCAGTTTTCCACTGATGTCTAAACAGGTACAACTCATAAAAAAAAAAAGATGGCAAGACAGAGACACTGATGAATAATTGTGTGTGAAGAGCGAAGGGCCCTGCTCCTTGTAAAGTAGGTCCCTCTTCACAGTCGTGCACAACAAGAGGCTGATGGGTAATGAATGTCACTGTGAGAGTCTTTAGCAGTTTATTGTCTAGCTTGTTGTGTCTGGGAGCTGGAGCCAGCAGAAGGGCCATGGCAGGAAATGACAACAGTGTTTGTGTGTTCCTCTATTGGCCTCCGCTGGCAGCCGACCACCCGCGTCTCTGTATCGCAGATGTCCAGGTCCGGCTGATCCGCCTCTGCTGCCGCAGCGGCCCCTGAGGCGCTGTCACAGCAGGAGCACACCTAGACACCATGGACAGATTCAAAAAGGAGACATGAAAATGAGAAGGTGAGGGGTGCCGTTCGAGCTCACCAGTTTGATATAACCTAATAATAATAATAGTTATAAAGAAGTATAAAACCATCTCGACAGAAACCTTTATTTCCAGTAAGGCAAATAAACCAAATTGCACTAAATTTAAAATATTCTATTTCAAAGCCTAACAAAAATGAACTTAATAAAATAATTTTACCTTGATGTCTATCGCCTTGGGCAGACCTCCCTTCTTAATCCAGGGGTGGACCTCAATCAGCTCCTTTTTCTGCTCCTCTGAAAACCGTGGCTGGTTCTTCTGCAGCAGCCTCAGCTTCTCTCTGTCCTCTCTGAGCACTCTCTGGATGTCACTGCGGATACAGCAAACACACAAACACAGCCACATTGAATACTCGACCCGACAGTCGTATCTGACAAACCTTTAGGAGGGTTGGGTTTTTAAATAAGAGGGATGGATGATCTATTCTTAATGTTGGAATATATATTGTTGCTGTGTGAAACCTTCCTGCATCTGTGCTGTCTCATTCAATGTCAGGCACCACTTACTAACTTTATTAATATAAGGTGCCATCTAGTGGTCAAAAACCCTGACTGCAAACAGTTCCAGTGTGAGACATGCACACTGATTCTTATCTCTATTTAAGGAAGTTGACCACAATAGAAAATCATGTGTGCTGTATCTAATGCACAAATAAGAAAATGTTACTGTAAGGAAATGCAAACAATTGAACAAAACATGCTGTACAACAGTTAAGCCTTTCTGGCTGTTCACACAGGACAGCGACAGTGTGCAGGACTATGCAGCCAGACTTATTGCTGTATTTAGTGCTGCTGCATGAAGACAGTACAAACTCGAGTGCAAATTCATGCATCGTATTTCTGCAACCCTCAGACAGCTTTCCTAGCAACTCCACTTTGAGACGTGTGTGAGCAGAAAACACACAACAGCTCTGAGGAGAGCTACAGTGAGAGGAGTTGAGGATGAGCGGAGAAGGTTCAGTATTCTGTCCTGTGACAATTAAATCAGACTTGGTCAGAAAACTAGATTTTAATAACTAACTCTGAATAATCTCTCTCTCTCTCTCTCTCTCTCTCTCTCTCTAAGTTGTCCGTCATTTATTAACATGCATAACATTTGGGGAAAGTGACGAAGAGTGTCCGTTACTAGTTTACTTTGCCAAGATACATTTTGTCTAAATTCTAACACTTTTCTGATGTTTCTGCCTCCTGGATGCACATACATCCTTCACTGTCTATAAACAGCAAATCTGCCAACTAATGGGGATTAGACGACGGTTTGCCTGGATGCATGCTTACCCATAGCCTTCCATAACAAAACAGAAGGTTGATAAACTATCAAACACTCTACAGGACCACTATCCTACTTCTCACTGGCTATGTCCCCTGTCCTCCTACTCACCGCGAGGGCAGCTGATAGGTCATCATGACCTTGTCATCTGTGTTGGCCGTGAGCAGCCACAGCGGGTCCTGCCGTACATACTTGATGAACTGTTCGCTCTGCTCCATCTCCATCGGCCTTCCCTCACTGCTGCTCAAGTGACCGTTGACCTTCTGGCTGTTTTGGGATGAGTCCACGCTGCCAAAGTAATTGCTACTGTTGTTGCTTCCTGAGAACAGCCAAAGAGCACATAATGCTTGAAACAAGAATAATAGTTTGTACATTGTTAAACCTGTATATTGTGAAACCTGTGACTACGAACTATCAACTAACAGTCAACAGAGAGACAACATTTAATATTGAAAGCTGATTCTGTTCACTTGTGTGTTTTCTACTCTCCATACAAGTATTTAGATTTTCCTGCTCATTTACCGCTGAGGATGTGTCAACATATCCATAAGATGTAGAAACAGACCTGTTCCACTGCCGGAGGTTCCGCTGGCCGAGCCTCCGCTGGCTGACGTCCTGCTCTTAGAGGTCCCGCTGTTGGACGTCCCGCTGGCTGAAGTTCCACAGCCATTGGAGCCCGAGCCCATGGACCCAGAGGTGGCTGAGCCAGTGCCTGAGCAGGAGTCCTCATGGAGAATAATGTCTAACATGTCGCTGGACGAAGAGTTGACGTCACTGTTGTTCCCGTCGCCACGTGAACTCGCCTGCAAAAACAAAAACATTAAAGCGGTACCATTAAAGAGGAGCTTGACTTCATAGCTCTGGCCAGCAGACTGTAGTACTTCCTCCATCTCCTGTGTCTGTATAACACAGGTACAGTGTCATTGGCTGTGTTGCATCTTGCCTCTGTATTTTTAGACTCAACTGGGAGTACTTTTCTGGAATCAATCAATCACCTGGCACACATATAATCTGATTACCATCGCTGCACAATATGGCTGAGCATGGTTAGAAACATGACAGTGATCCTGATCGTTCTGCTGCTGATTTAAAGTAGGGCAAATCATTCAATCGGAGTATGTATCATTAATCTAGGGGTAGGGTTTAATACAAGTATAATACAATATCCACTGCTAATGTTACTTGTATGGTTCTTGCATGCAAAATCAAGGAGGGTATGTATTTGTGCATACAGTCATACATACAGTGTAAACTATAATACGGTTTTGGTTTAACTTGATAGACATTTTTAAGTAGCTCAATACATCACTTGTTTTTCACGTCAGATTATGTCTTTTTAAAGTTTTTCATACTTTAGTTAAAATCAATGACTCTTGCTTTACTGGATAGACACTGCAAGATTTAAACTGCTAATCATAAGTAATGAAAAGGAGAAAAAAAAGAGAAACTGTTACAGTTATAATTGACATATGGAATCGGGGAGGAATGGGATTGGAGAAGTGTGGAGGTTTTCTGATGATTCGCCTACCTCTTTGCTGCAAGCCCTCAGCCTAGAGCACACTTTATCCCAAGACAAACGCTCACAGACACATGGCGTGCCCTCGCAATACAAGGGTCCAGGTGGACCAAGGAGACTGAGAGATGGCTAAAGGGTGTAAGGGATAATAACATCATGTGTTAACACCCTGTGCCACAAATTTTCATCTGAGGAGTCTAGACTGACTTGACGTTACACATGGCATAGTAATACAATAGCAAAAAAACGGCTGCACTTTAATGCAGTGAACAATGTGTAGGAATCACTGTGACGATGGCATTAAATCCTGACAGGCTGAGTGAGAGACATATGAATGAATGTCTCAGGGGAACATGCCACAGCCTGCCTACAGGAGTTCAAACAACCCACAACAATAAAGTTCAGCGAGGCATTGACATTTTATCCTGACAATTTAAGAATGTTACAGATGAAGAATATCAGTCATAGGGAGGGTTATGGGAGGAAAAGGAAAGAAAAGATAAAAAAGAAAGCAAATAAAAAGAGGATTGTTTCATTGTTTACCTGCTTCAACTCTTTGGCCTGGTTGCCGCTCGCTCCTTTCTCCCGTTCAGCTGCATTATTCCCTTGTCCTCCAGAGGAGACCGCTGTGCTGTCCTGCTTGTCCACGGACAGCTCGAGCTCCAGCAGGTTGAGGGGCGAGCTGCAGCGAGACTGGAACAGAGGTGGTGACGCCGGGCCTCCACCTCCTCCAGACTGCGGTGTAGAGGAGCGGGACTGGCCCTCCATGGGGGCCTTTGGGGTTTCCGAGGATGGAGGGAAGTAGAACGATGGGGCCAGGTAGCCTGCTTGAGGAGCGAAGTGGTTCTGGGAGGTGAACTGGTTCTGGACACTGAAGGTAGGTGGAGCTGTGAAGGGGACCTGGCCTGGAAAAGCAGCCTGACAAAAAGGCTGGGTTTGGGGGGGAAAGCCACCAGCTTCTGCGTGATACACCGGCTGCGGTGGTGGTGGTGGCATCCCAGGGGCCATTGGAGGGTACACGTAGTTGGGCAGCACTAGAGCCACAATGGGGGTGACAATGGGGGCAGTGTAGGGAGGAGCCTGGATGGACGATGGGCAGGGAGGGGCCTGGCTGCCCTGGTTGTCCCTAAAGCCTTGTAGATTGGCGTCTGTGCATGGAGCTACAGAACTGGCTCTGGGGTAAACGGGGAGGGGGTAGCCTGGCATCACGGAGGGGTACGCCATGGGAAAAGTTGACTGTGAGGTCTCAGAGGGAGACCAAGAGGTTGGGTTAAGGCCGTGATTCAGACGAGGAGGCCGCAGGTGTTTCTGTCTGTGGTGCGATACTGTGCTGTCTGAGGACTCGATCTGCTTCGCTCGTTTTGACTTGGTCTTCTTAATCCGTGTGCCCCGTCGTGTGGTGGGCTCTGCACCTGGCTTGCAGGATCGAGCAGCGGGTGCAGCTAGAGGGTAGAGAGAGATATTGATTAATATGGAAAACTTTACAATTTGAGTTAAAAGTGTCAGTGTGGTGGTCAGAGGTACCATCGCTGGTGATCTGTTCTCTCTGGCGCTCCAGGTACTGAGAGCAGTTTGCTTTGAGTGCCGTCAGTCCGCGAAGCTCCTTGAAGCGAAACAGAAAGGCCTGCTCTTCCTTCTGCGTATGGGCGGCCAGAACCTGCTTGGTCAAACCCAGTTTCTTGTAGGACTCCCTCTCCTGACTGGGAGGTGAAACAGCAGAAGGAGGAGGAGCCCCGAGGTTCTGGCAGGACTCTACCGCCTCTCCTGTTCCTGGGATGTCCTCTATGATTTCTGTACAGATGACAGTGGGGAAAGCACTTTACTATAAAGTAAATCAATAAAGGGTTTTATTTAACATAGCTGTTTAGCATGAGCAGTGACGACGACAAAAGCAATGTTGATCAAGCATTGTAGTGGCTCGAATTGAAAGATAAATGGACGCCATTAATAACACAATAAAGATGGAAGCAACTGTCAAATGATCGCACAAGTGGGATTCCCCTTTCAGGGCTATCAGAGGCCTGTGGTTGAGTGACAGGACCGTGAAACAACGACACAGTTAGACACTGTAGTCTAGTACAACAGTTATTATTTGCTTACATACTATGTATGTATTTATAGTATGTTCACTCCACCATTTGGCCTGGAGTCTGGCTCACTCGCTGGCAAGAATGGTCATTACAGTGCCCATTGAAAGGATTTGTGCTTTATATAAGTAAAACACAAATCTTTAGTCGCACTGCAATAAAGCACTATATATAATAAACGTGACTTAACTACATGACACTTATTAGACTATTATCAGACTTGCCAATTCTGGTTCCTAAACCGGTCAGTTGATAAAACTTTTGCTGCATACTTACAATGCAGCATTATCATCATTATCTTTTTGTTATAGATTGCAACTTCAACAATTAATTTAAAATGAAATCAGAATGAAAGCAGAGCTTTTTCTTGAAGTTTCTAGATTAAATTCAGGACGGGACCCAATAACCCTGCAAAAAGTTTGTGCACATTGAGTAGAACTAAAAGAATTTATATCGCGGAAGGAGTTGACTTTGTTTGTTGAGTTTGAGTTTCAAGCATCCACTGATAAACTACACACACATACACATACGCACAAGGACACAAAGAAAGCAGCGCGTACACATACAGGTATAAAGTATTTACAGTGCTGTGAAAAACCATTTGCCTCTTTCCGGATCTATTCTGTTTCTGTATATTTGTCACACTGGGTAGTTTCAGATCTGATCAGATCAAAATGTAAAAATAGACAAAGTGATATAAAAAAACCCACTAAAATAAGAAACTGGTGTTTGAATATTTGTGTCTGAGCATAAGAATTTCTGCAAACTTAAAAAAAATGATTGAACAGTAAACGCAGTTATTGCTGATAAAAACCTGTTATTAAGTTTAAAGTGGCAAATAACAAGGTTTTTGGATAACCTTGTTCCTTAAATAAAGCTACACCACGTGATTCATCTGACATCTTTGTATAACAAATATGCAACAATAGAGGAAATCAGGTTGGAAGCAAATACTTTTTCACGGCACTGTACCTGACTCTGGTTGAGGTTTCTTGTCCCCAACATGCACTATGGTGCTACTGTAGCTACACTGGCTGGTTATGGACACCACACTTTCTGGTTTGTTAGGTACAGGTAGGGGCAGCGAAGTGCCCACTACCGCTGTGGCCGCGTCACTGGACTTTTTGTCTCGAACATCCAAAGCGGAGAGATCAGACTGATCCTTCAACAAGGCTGGTTCTGCCAAAGAGAACAGAGAACAAGATATGCTGACAAGGAACTGGCATTGAGAAGTTTTTAAAGGGTAGAGTGTGAAGACCTTAAGAGGCCGTAGCTTTGTAAAACCGTTTCCTCACATGAACTCCGGACAATGTCAGGAGATTCAGGTCCGGACATTGTCCGGAGTTGCCCTTTCACACATGTAGCACACAACAGGACACGTTCTCACCAACTGGAAATACTCTGTTTGGTTTAAGTGAGGAGGAGGACTAATCTGTAATGATGACCGTTTTTTGCGTTGATATCAATACTACATGTATTTGGACGTATCCGTAAAATATCAACTATAGAGTGGAAAGCAACGTGCAACATCATCATCGTTATCAACAGACCCACTCATTCGCTGTGAATTCTTTGGACAACGACTGCTCTATTCACACATGGGCTCAATCGGACATTACACAGACTTTATACCAGGGAGCTGGCGGGGTAAAATCTGTTTAATGTCCGGTCCAACTGATTTGGACTTTTGCGGCCTCTCATACAGTTCCTCCGGGTAATATCTAGGGCTAGTTCAGGGTTGCAGTTCATGTGTGAAAGGGACTTATGATGAGGTGACTATGAGTGTCTTTTATTCCTTCATGGTATGAACTGAAGTGGCGAAACATACCTTCAGACACCTGCATGCGGTTAGATGCTTTCTGTTTGTCGTCATCTGAGTTAGAGGATGTGGTGTTCGAGGAAGATTGGCACTTCCTCTTCATGTTGATGGGGACATTGCACGTCTCCAAGTACCTACAGGATTCATATCAACACAAGGGATCAGTTTCTGTGGGAGAAGCTTTTCAATTAGTTTCTATGGCTTGCATTTACCACACTGATTATGTGTTACAAATGAAACCCAGGATCATGGCTACCGTCTTTATCTCTGTACCTGACAACACTGTCCAGACAGCTGATCTGCTGGTAGGAGTAGGCGGTCTGATCATTGAGGGCCATGTCCTCCTGGAAAAAGGACCTACTCTCCTCCATAGTGGCCCCGGACTCCCTCGAATTTATAGGAGCTGCTGATTCTTTGGGCCGCACCACTGCTGGGCTCTTCTGTACAGACTCTACTGGAGGAAGGCCAGGAGTTAGACACAATTTCTTAACTATTTAACACACTCACATACTAACACACGGGTGGTTATAAGGTGGACTTACTGCCACTGCTTTTCTTGTGGTCTGGTTTGGTTGTCTGCTGCTCCTGGCTCTTCTGAAGATGAATTCCCTTACAGATTTCCTGAAAGGTTCGCTGTGAAACGGAGACACAAGACAGAAGAGTCAGTACAACATCTGTTAAAGAGACAACCATGTATATGCCACTGCAATATCATCATGTACAAGCAGGATCACATGGGTTGGAATACACTGTACTAAAGTATTTGAGTATTACTCACTGGTCTGGCTTTCCCGCTCACTTCCTCCTCCTTTTGTCGCATCTTGCTCCCACCGCCGTTGTCAAGGCTCTCGCTAGAGGAGGTCATGCCCAAAAGGTGGTCGTTTCTGCTCAGACTGCCGTAGCCACTGGACCCACTGTTATGTACCGGCTGATCACAGATATAGAGAGAGGGAAGAGAGAGATTGTGTTAAAAGGCACAGAGGATGTAGCACTGCGTAAAATAATTAATGCGTTGCTCTACTTTTTCTTGGTAGATGTTTAGTTTCTCCTGTGTCCTTAAAGTTGTTTTTACTTTTGTTATTAAAGTTTTTGGATTTGATTTGGGGTTTTCTGGAAGTTAGATGTTGCTCTAATCCCTCAGCCGTGTATATTAGCATTTGTATCTCCTGCTTCGATGCTTTATAATGGCTTAATTAAACTACCACTACATGTGTCCTTGATTTTTATCCCTCCTTATTCTCTCTCACCTGTAACAGGAGCCGATGGATCTGCTCAGTAACCTCCTGGATGTCAGAGTCCATGGTCTTCATCTTGCCGACAGTAGAGACAGGGGCCACAAAAACATCCTCATTCACGGGGGCCCTGATAAACAAAAAACAGATCAGCTACTGGTTCATGAATGTATTTGTCTTTGAAACAATGTAATTCCAATCTTCCAATCCAAAGAACCATACATCAGCTTAGATATTACCTCAAAGAAATACTCACATGCGCACTTTGTGTCTCCCGATAACGAAGGAGACCTTGCGGCTCCAGGGGTTGACGAAACTGGACCAGCTGGTGTCAAGAATGATGTATTCTCCATTTCGCGCACAGAACCGGATGGATGAGTGGTCAAATGGTTGCCCAGCATATTGAAGAACTTCAGAGAAAGGCAAAATAATATAGTCAGACCATGATGGGGACAGATTTCCTGTGCAGACATAAAGTCTGCCTTCATGTATTTAATTCTGCAGACTCACTCTTTCTGTGAATGGCCAACATAATCGGCCGGTCATTGGGATGCAGGTGGAGGAGGACTGGTGTGCCAATCAGGTCCTGGGGGAGGTACCCGAGGAGAGGAACCGCCCTGATGCACACAAAACAAATCCCTCTGTTAATTCTATTATGGTCTGATAGTTCAGTGATTTGTGTGCAATTACTCAGAACTTATAGCTGCTCAGAAGTAGAAACATGCCGCTGTGGCTTACCTCTCATCCACATCCTGAAACACACAACTCGGAGTGTGTGTGGTAGTGAAGATGCGTTTGTCTGTTGGAATTCTGGGTGCTTTAAGGAAGAGAGAAGATTATATTTATTAACGTCTAACAGAATTGGAAAAAGTCTTGAACCATCTGGCATTAAAAACTATGTTTAATACTAATCTTTCCACCAAAAGAAAAATAGAGATATCTTCCTACATTTCATTATCCACACAGAGGGTCTCTTGTATGTTTGATAGATTGTCAAGATTGTAAATTGTTAAACTTTTAATTTGTGGGTTTTGGATATATAAATAAAACTGACTTGACTATCTTAACTTTAAAAGTATCAACATTTTCTGTACATCTGATTTTTGCTGGAGTCATTGAATTGGCTTCTTGAACCTGCAGTCATGTTCTTACCATCATAACCAGAGTGAACCCTCTCAGCCAGCAGGAGGCAGCAGAACTGGTCTTCAGCATGTACTGTGTCTTGGACCTTCATCAGGTAGGGAGTCATGCGGAACGGATAGTACTGCAGATCGCCCTCACTCTCCTTACCACCGCTGGGAATTAGTTAGAAGAAAAAGTTAAATTAAACCAGATCAAATAAGGATTCTCGGCTCAAGTATAAGTTAAATAATCTGTGTCCATGTTTGTGGGTATTTTTGAATTCAAGATATTGAACACAAGGGGGCAGTGTTGTGCTATTTTCTCATTAATATCAGTGTTCTATTAATGAGAGTAAATGTATGTAGATATATGCATTCTTAGATTTCTCTTCTTGTGAGCTTGAGACGTCACAGTTTTTACATCAGATGAGTGCTAAAAGCAGAATGATAATTTAAGGTTTGGCATGTTGAAGGGTTAGGTAGGTCAATGGAAAGTCTTTGTACAGTGTAGTACAATACAGTAAGGTGTGGGGATGTGTGTTTCAAATGCGTGTGTCTGCCTATACGTATAACACTGTCCTGGAATAAGCATATGATTACAGTTTACACGCATATGATGTCACAAACTAATTGAAAAACATCTAGAGTGGAACAAAAACATTAATAAACACTACAAACAGGTATGAGCAGCAGATGGTCCGACAACATGTTTGAACCAACACCCACCTGATACGACAGAAGAAGGACTTCTCCTGCATGCAGTCAGAGGGGGATGACTCTGAAACGGGTAAAGAAATGTTTTAATTCAAAAGCAACACAATCTGGTCGAATGCTAGTCGGGGTCTCAGCCTCCGTAGGCGATCAGGCTTTGATTAATTCCATCAAAAAACATGCAGGGCAGCTCTGAGCTTAAATGCAATGAATTTTAACAGCCTTAGATGAGCCTTATTTTGGTTTGTTAGCCAAACTTTTTCCAGTCACAAGGGACAAATCACAACAGATAAAGTGCAGCTCTGGGTCTGATGTGGGCATCACCAGTTAAACTGAAAAGGAAATAGTGAGCTCTCTGTATCTTTTATCTTATTTTCCTATTTTTACTTTAGCATCTAAATCAGCTCAGTAAAAATGGGGCAAACATCTTCAGTTTTATGAATGACTGAGGTCAGGTCAATTTGATCCTAATGCACCATGTTGATGGCAGCCTGGGATTCATTGACAAGTTGCCTAGGAAACTAAATCTAACACAGTCATTTATTTCTTTAATAAATCTTCTTATGTATGCAAAGTAATAATAGTCAGTGTGACTGATCTTCCCATATCACAGTCATCCTCCTTAATTACACTATGATCAAGGATGCCCTCTTGAGTAGAACCGTTTTTTTTTAATACTGTGTCTACAGAGAGCCGTGTGGTGGGTTATTTAGTACGTACCTGCTCCAGTGCTCATGCTCCAGGAGGGCAGGCGGTAAGGCGTTGTGAAGCTGTAGAACACACTAACATCCTGCGGCGTCAGGAACTCCACAAACTTGGTGTCCTTGAACACATCTCTTTTGCAATTGAGGATGGAGGCAGCCTGATCAGAAATGTAGACTATCCTTCCTGTGTTGAGAGACACCGCTACTGCAAAAATATCCTATCAAAGAGAGAACATACAAATTGTGGGATACATCAACTACTCAAACTCAATCGATTTAAGTATTTTTGTTCAAAACACAACACATGTAAATGCACCTCAAAAGATTTAAACGTTATATTTAAAGAAGAATTCAAAGACTCACGTTGTTTTTGAGGGTGTATTCAGACGTAATGCTGTCTATCTCCTCTATTGTATAAGAGGACACATCCAGGCCTGAAGGTTGACTGTCATTGATCATCAAGAGCTGGTAATACTCCTCATTGGCTGCAAGACACACAGGGATTTTTTTTTTTTTTTTAAGTCTGGGTCTCAGCATAATATACAATATGGTATAGCTGGTGTGTGGAAACATTTTAGAGGAAACAACACTGATGAACCTGGTTCAGAGAGTCCAACAAAAAGATGATGTATTCATACTGTAGTATTATGTGTTAAAAATAACAAAATAATCAACTTCTAAACTATGAAAGTCGGGTGTGACACACAAGACTGAAGCAGAGGGAAGAATGAGAAAAAAAGCCCTTTACCTTCCACTTGTTTGACACACCGCAGTGCGTACTTGAGGGTGTTCAATGTGGTGGACTTGTTATTGTGTTTCTTTTCAGCAGGCAGGTGAAGCTTCAGCTCTTTCAGTGTTTTAATCACCTCCTTCTGGGTCTTAGCTTTGGCAGACTCTTGACTACTGCAAGTTGCACAAGGACACACACATGCACAGAGGCGAGTCAGATATTGCAACACAAAACGCAGTCTGTTAAAAAAAAGGTCAAATAGATGAAATAATAGAAAACTTCTAATTTAAACCACATATTTTATATATAATATTCGTGGTAACTTCAGTGTTACAGTGGTGGTCTGTGCACTAACCTGCAGCCACTGGTTGATGGGTTGTCTTGCTCTGAGCTCAGCAGACTGAAGGCGTTTGAGCTGCTGGGAGGAGACGGACTATGGGAGTTTGAGCTGGGGGGAGAGAGAAGGAAAATGAACATTTTGCAACAAAAAAGAGCAAAGAGAATTACATAAATTACATCAAAGAGAGACACGAATGAAGGGAGAGACCTGCAACCGTTTCTTATTCAGTCAGACTTATTTGAACTCCTTCCTCATTAAATGAAAGTGTATTAATAATAATAATACAGTAGACTGACTGGGTACAAAACCGTGTGCAAATTTCACACAACCATCTCTTTCTCACACAGCTGAGACACCTGACTTTGCTAAGGTACTCAAGTTACCTAATAATAATAATTTAAAAAAAAACTCAAGTACACTCAATATCACAACAGGGGTGTTGTTAGTGTGAGCCTAAAAAAGAGCCTTTGTGGAAGTGAATTGGGAACGGTGTGGATGCAGCCTCAGCTCTCATTTAGCAGTGATGCTACAAAAGAAATCACACTTAGCTGAGGTCAGTCTCACCTCCTCGAGGACACTAAGTGTATCTGTACAAAATATGTGTGTATATTTTTTTTTTCTAAAGCCAATTAGAAAAACATATATTCAAGTTTGCTAGTAACTTCCTCAATGAATGGAGATTTCTATCATTGACATTAAAGCTACCTGTTATCATGTGATTTAGAGTTATTGTCACACAACTTAAGTATGGTAACTAAGTAACTTATTTAAGCTGTGTGACAATAACTGAGCAAACTCTAACCACTGAGAACAGCCATAAGATGGCTTTGAAAGTTCTGGTAAAAGTAAGTGGACCTTGAGTTAATATGTTTTGTCAAGCTTTGCAATTATTTTTAAAACAAAGAATCATGTATTTGTGGTGGAAACACAATGACGACCCATGAACAAAGCCTGCAAGCAGTGTGTGTGTGTGTGTGTGTGTATGTGTGTGTGTGTGTGTGATCCACTGCATTAACCTACAAGCTCAACACTGCACTAATACACTAAAATGACTCACTACAACTCAGGTTACTATCTATAACCTGCTTACCTGGCTACAAATAGAGAACACAGTTACAAATAGCCTCTCTAAGCAGAAGAAGCCATCTAATTCTATCCAATATAACCTTCAGTGTTCAAGAATGTAACAGCTGGGTTTAGACTGGGCAGTCTGAGAGTGTATCAGAGTGAATCTTAGAAACACTTTCACACAGGCTAATAGGCTAATTGACAGTGTGGTAGTAAGTCTGTATGCCAATTTCTATGGACATGTGTTACTAAAAGAGACTTTCTGACTGAGGCTTGTTGTTCGAGAAAAGGGTCAAACTTAGGAAGGAACATTGTAGGAACTCTGGTATTGCGCGGGCTGGATCGCAGACACACCAAACATGTTTCACATGTGCTACAAAGAGAGGTCTATGTCTATGTGACATGTCTCACTGACCTGCTGAATGAACTACAGAAGGGATCTCTTGACAAGGAGTGGGTTTGGTTAAAGAAAAAATCAGTAGTTAAAAGAATAAGCCACCCATAGTCTTACCCGATTTAATTGAAGACCCGGGAACTGTGCATCTGTGTGTGTATGTAGTCCACTGTATTAGCTTACAAGCTTATCTTAAGACTATTAACAGCTGTGGGATACTGACTCACCTGAGCTACATCTCAGGTATCGTCTAACCTGCTTACTTGTCTTAAAATAGAAAACACCTTTACAAATAGCTTCTAAAAGCACAAGAAGGCATCTAATTCTATTAAATATAGCCTTCACAGCCCAAGAATGCAACAGCTGGTTTTAGACTGGGCAGTCTGAACAAGTATTAGTGATCAGTAGGCTAATTCACACCGTTGTAGTCTGTGAGTCGTGGAAACATGCTCCCAAAAGAGAGTTCCTACTCTGAGCAGGATGTTGATCTGCTGAAGGTGAAGATCAGGGCAAGGTGGCCTAGTTTAGAAATATCTACTAACAGGCTATGTGAAAATTGGCCCTCTTACCTTACGCATGTTTAGATATCTCATTACATTTAAAATGACATGGATATCACACTGGATTACCTGCGTATGAATAAGGCAAAGAAGAACTGCAGTGGTTTGTTTTTCCTTTCTGGAGAGATGACTATAAATTATCTACATGAGTATAAATTAATTTAGAGCAGATAAAGGATAACAAGAAATGGAAAACCAAAATGAAATTGACTCTGTTTTGTCAACAGTCCCATAGTTTATTTGCTCAAAACTTAGCCCGGCATTGGTAGCCTTTGAATTTATAATAGTATAACTGTGTATGTGGCCCACTATATTAGCCTACAGGCTTATCAGTGCACTAAAAAACACAGCTCTCAAGAGACAGACTAATCTTTAAAAATACAACCTGTTACCATAAATAACAGGCTTAAATGACTTAGTATAGACACAACATCCACAAATATCTTCTCCAAGTGCAACCACAGAGCTACTTCTACCAAATACACCACTGGACCACCGTGCTGCTCTGTTTCTGTTCATCACTGTCACAAAAGCCTGGCTACATCCATTCAGTGTTGTAAAAGAATAGCTTTTACAGAGGCATTTCCTTCATCCTTTTATACGGCTGAGGGCCACAGATGGGCGAGGTTGGGATTTTTTAGAAGGGAGGGAATTATACTTATTGCTGATGATTCGGCTTTTGGCAACAGAAGGCACCAAAGACAACACATGGTGGCTAAACAAAAAAAAAATCTGTTTATTTCCTAGTAAATTGTCACTTGATGAATCAAAAGCGTATGATGTTTTTCATTTAGTAACCTGCATAATTAGCTGTTTTGGGTGAATGACGTGGGGGAGAGAGAGACAGCAGAGAGGAGCATAAAAAAGTTAGGCAGACATGGTAAAGAGAGGAGAGAGAGACAGAGAGCCTATTTGGAGTCGAGGGAGTGGTCTACAACCAAATGGGCACAAAAGGTTAGAAGTTCAACGCCAGAGAGGGCGGGCTGAGAGAGGGTGAGGGACACGGAAATACAGAAATCAAACGAGAGATGGGAGAAGTAGTTAAAGTCGTCCCCGTCAGCAGAAGTGGGAAGGAGCTGGCGTGTGCGATTGATGTACAATACAGGCAGGAAGAGGGAGGGATCTCTACGAAAGACCTGGATTCAAAAGACTGAGTGAGGTATGAGAGGCGGGGCTCAGAGGGAGAGAGAAAGAATGTGCAAGCACGCAACTCTGCTTGCTGCGCCCAGGGATAAACAGAGACAAACACTGCGTTGCTATGGTAATAACAAGGACTTGGTGAGCAGGACACAATACATCTGGCATTAAGAGAAAGCCAGCCTCCTTGATGACATCAATCCAGTATGTGAGAGACAGTTATTTAATTTTTTCCACCCACTCTGGAAGTCTCCTGGGGCTGACAACATTGTGTCTGAAACTATTTCTGGTCACGTTATGGTCACATTCAGGCGATATTTGAGAATTTGGAAATGTTCTATCGTTATGATTCAACCAAAGCTTACGTCAGCAGAAGTTTGTCTCTTCTGCTACAGCAGCCCTGAAACAAACAAACCTCACTGACACTCCTGTAAGCCAGGACATATGAATGTACACATAAAGATTGTATGTATTGTCTTTATCTGTTTGTTAAGACAAATCTCCCTCTGCGACATTAAAATCTAATCAAATGTCTACATCTGTAGTACAGCTCATGTGCACTATACAGTTTACTCAGAATTACTCTGTCACTAACAAGTCTTCCAACAAGCTCAACAAGGTTTATTCAAAAATAAATAAAGTCAAATTTATGTGATAGAGCAGGGATATAGCTACAATAACACTGAAACCAGCCTTTAACACCTGGCACAGACACCAGATTAATATTAACTCTTACACTGAACAATCAAGTGACCCTTATCCTTAAGAACCTAAGGAACCAACACAAACTGCCAAAAACCAGCACCAACTGCCTCTCCCCAGACATAAAACGTGAGTAAAACTGGAAGGTAACGTGAGCTGGCACAAGATTCGGGTTTAGGGAGTGAAACATGGTTGTGGTGAAATAGAATGACGTTTAAAATCATTCAGTCCAAAAATAAAATGCTTTGGCCAACAGCACATCTGTCAGGCAGGTTTACTTTAATGTCACTGGTATGTGTGTGTGCTCAGCTGGCAGGAAGAACGTCATTGAAAGCACTAACATTTAAAAGCTATTATTCAAACCAATTTACTTTGATATTTTTCTCATAGTCAGAAAAAAACTAATGGAGCAGGTTCACTCATGTTTCATACTGGAAGGCCATCACTGCAGCCTTGGCTCACTCATCTATTGACATTAGTCAACACTGACAAACACATCCAATGCTGATGGCTGTATGTATTATGACCAGACTGTTGTGGCGGAAGGCTAAGCGGACATGATTTTTCATCTTTCCTGCCTAAAAGACGTCAGTCTATATGAATATGTTAACTATAAGAGTGAAGGGCACCATATTTTTGAAGCATAGTCACTTAAATTGCACAAAATATTGGTATTTTTTTCACTAAATTTTGTTTGACGACAAGGATAAGACAATTATCAGCTATGACTCATGTTTGTAAGCCATGACTGGGTGATTTGGACTTATTTGTTCATATCTTTTCTAGCTTCAAAAATGTATTGGTGCTGGCACTGCAACACAATCAATGCGAACATCCCTGCATATTTAATGCTTTATACTGCTTTTCGTGTTTCAAGGTGCTTTATGATTGTGTGGCTAAATCAACAAACCTAATCTTTTACATGCAACTGTTTGACCACAGCAAAAACAGTGCTAATCTTAAAAAGCGTTCCTGTTAAACACATGAACTATGTGAGCCTCTCTTGTTTGAAAAAGTAACTTTTGGTCTTGACCCCATTTAATATCTCCTGCTGCTGACTCCTCATCAGAGTTTTGGAATTCTTAAGCTCAAGAGTTTTATTTTGAAAACATTTTTACTGTCACCAAAGAGAGTAAGAGAGTGCTGACCAGACCAAACCTCACTAGATACAGTGAGGATTCCTGCAGAGTGTAGTAACAAGAACAGTAGCTCCCCACACTCTCCCCTCTTTTACAGTCAGTCAATAAAAATGCCTGGAAAAAACTCTTACTCATGGCTTCATCATTCCCACAACCACAACTGACCTCTTGTTGCTTTCAGACGATTCCAGCAGTGCAGAGTCTTTACTGGTGCCATTGGAGCTACCCATTGACTCGTGGCCATGGCTCTCGTTGCCGTGGCTCTCGTTGCCGTGGCTCTCGTTGCCGTGTGATTCGGTTCCACTCCCACTGGACCCGCTGCTCTTCATCTCCACGTCCTCTTCGGGGAGCGACCGGGAGCGGGAGTTCTTGCGATGGTTGTGTGGTGAGGCAGAAGGGTCCTGCCCGCTGCTGTCGCTGCCCTCCGAGGGGAGGCCTAGGTCAGGCCCACCTTGGCTGTAGCCACCCATCCGGTGCAGCTGTGCCATGGAGCTGCACCCCGAGGCCCCTCGTGCCATGGAGCTGCATGAGGTGGACACTCTGCACCCTGAGGCTCCATCCTCATCCTCCAGCACTGGGAAGCGATAGGGCTTGGAGTCTGAATCTTCTGACATCAGGAGAAGTATTGCCCTGGGCTTGTTCCAGGTTTGTTAAATAGATGATGTAAGAACACAATTACCCCATCATCACAAGGCCATCGCCAGAGTGAATCAAAGAGGAAACAGATTGATCTGTTGAAAGAAGGAGATTATACATGTTAGTAATGAAGTAATGCTTCTCCATTGCAAGTTTTGCATATTTTTAAATATTTAGAAAACACGTGAACATATTGTAACAGATAATTATCCTAGTTAATTAGAAAAATTGACTCTGCAAGAGCAAGTCAGCAATATGCAAAGTATATTATTATTACATTTGTCAAAACATGCAATAACGCTGCCGTGGTTCTTTAACATTTCATTAATTTGCATGCACGTGCAAGCAGGCACACAGTTCAAAAAATCTTTGAGAGAGAAGAACCAATGCTTCACCTATCCTCCTTCAAAAAGGTGTCTATTTGGGGTGATACCAGAGCACATACCAGGGGCCTAACCCCTGACCTCTGAAGAGCCCTGCAGGTGCTTCTCTGATGTACAGTGAAAATGCTCCCTTGTATAGACAGTGTGGCCTTTAAGATCAGTGGGTCTGTCCCATCTGAGCCCTCCAACCCTTTCAAAAGGATCATCCACCCTGGGACACATAAAACACTAGACAGCATTTATCTGAATGCCACCATAGGGTGCTAGCCAACTGTGTGGAATTGGCCCCATTTTCTGTGGCTTCAAGTGGGCATGTGATGCAGCATGCAGGGTATTGAACTCTGCCCTGTACAAAACCTGTGTCATCTCACTCAGTAATGCGATATAAATGCCAGATTTCAGCAGAATAAGAAAGATGCATATGTAAATGTTTATTCAAACTACCCAGTGCTGAGTAGAGCTTTCCTAGGAAATTTCCTCTGGTTACAGGAAGGGTTAGTGTTACATTTGTTTGGGAACAGTGGCGTGTTTGGAATGAACACACGGAAAACTGTGAAGTTACCATGATCAGAGGAAGATAATCAAATATTTTCAAAAGATTGTCTGGGGAAAGAGATATTACAGGAGTGGCAGGATATATTTTTGCCTCGACATTTTTGCAGTAAAGTCACCAAACTGAATTCTTCTACATTTACATTTGAACTTACTGATCCGAACATTAGTCTGACCTGTTAACTACGGTCAAGTTTGAGATTTAGAGCACAGGAAAAAGAGACTTATCTCTCACATAATCCTGTTTCTGGGCAACATGTTAAGTGCCACAAGCCCCAAGTCTGTGTATAACCTCTAGCCTGGCTGTGTTCCAGGGATAACCTGACTAAGCGGTGGCATGACTTCCTCTCTCACCTGCAATGGAAAAAATTCTATTTTCTACTCTGACTGGGACACACGGCTCTATGCACTCCTTAATTCACCTGAGCTCTATGTTGATGATGTGCATGTTTATTTAGTCTAACCAAGTTAGTCTTAAGCGTCAAGCCCAGGCAAGCACAAGCAATTTTTTACGTGGGCTTTTCCGTAGGTGTGACGCTCATGTTGTTCAGATCGGTTAATGAGCCGTTAAAAGCTGTGAGTTTGACTCCGTGTGTGTGCACAGAATGTGTGTATGTGATGTTGATAAGGTACCAAATGCTTCACAACAGATAAACGTCCATAGGGAAAAAGTTTGAAGCCTCATGAGCCTGATGGTGTTAATGCAAAAAGTCTTGACAGAACGTTTTACTAAATGTTTAATGTTGCATTCAGCATTTAAAAAACCCTGTAGTTGTCAGGATTGTTGTTTGTAGTAAACAAACAGATATTTCACAATTTGGTGGTTTGACATATGTGTCGCCTAACCCTAGCTGCATCTGATGACCGGTTTCATCTGGAAGTCAGAGTGGCCCGTGAATTACGTAACAAGATTCATGATGTTGCCGACCTTTATGGAGAAGTGACAGTAGTAAAATATTTCCATTAATAATTAACCGATCTGTTGGCCCTTTTAGAGACCAGCAAGTTCACAATCACCGCTTATTCTGCTTATCACAGACCTGCTGCAAAGTAAGGTCACGCTACTGTGTGAACTGGGTCAACATGCAGTGAAATGACTGAGACAATCAAGAAGAAATAAGTGAGAAAACTGTGTTCTTTAGTTTGGAGACCGTAAGATAAACTGAAGCAATGAATTTGTCAGCACTTGAGTTCAGCTGTTCTGCAGAACAGGGTAAGAAGCTCCTTTGTAGACTTCTATTGTGCAGTGTGAACTATCTAACAGAGATACTACTCAACATATTGTACATACTGAACATCCTGCACGCACTGTTGACCCGGGTTTTTGTGCACAGAGAAGCTTTCTGGCAGCTACTTTGACTCATAATCAAAGTCTGGTCCAAAGTTAAAGAGCTGTCTGCCAATGTGCCCGATATTCATAAAGTCCAGGAGTTCACACTAGTCAGCTCGTTATCACACTTAATCTGTTGGCTCGATACCAGCAGACAGGTCAGAGAGAGATAGAGAGATAAAGAGATCTAAACATGGAACCTACAGTGAGGCTTCAGTTCCGCTAACACTATCAGGCCCTTAAGAGAGTGTATCAGGTGGCAACATTGTTCCATATCAATAAAAATGCACTGAACTGGGCTTGAACTGAATCAAGAGACAAAAAGAAAATTAGAGAAAAAGACATGGTAGACAGATGTCAAAATAAAAAGAAGAAATTAGATTTGTGCAGCTGAAAATCAACTGGTCCGGCTTGTTTGACTGTACAAAGTACAAAATGCTCCGAATGGACAATCAAATATTGACTTTAGCAACACAGGAAAATGATTGAGGGGATTTATTGTACCCACTCTCTATGTTTACAGAAACAGAGACTTTGCTAAAATTAGAGCAGTGGCTCAAATTCTCACTTTCCTAAAAGGGTTAGTTAAAAGAACAGTCAATAAACAGCATACAATAAAGTCATTAACATAGTGATTAATGCTGGACATTTACGTTTTTAACACCTGTTTCTGATAAAAGCCTATCCACCTCTGTAGTAAGGGTTACCTGAGGCCACTTCAACATCTGTGATCATTCTCTTTTTTTCCTGTCATTAACTAAATCTATTGAATCCTGTTAAGCAGCTGCAGGGAATGAAGCAGAGGAGAGAGTAAAATGGATTTCCTGTGTCCCCATTAAGAAACCAATCATCATCCTCTAGCATGTGACATTGCTGCAGTGTCACTTTTCAGTCATCAACTTTCAATGGTTTTGCATGATCTATATACACAAGCCATTAGGCATTCAAGTGTCAGTTATGACGCTTGTCCTGACTGGTAGCAGGTCTAGGAAGCAGTTACATCCTACTCTGAGGTTAGTACAATAAGGAGCAGGTGGCTAACAAGGCAAGATGAGACACTTGACACAATTACAGGTTATATATTACTATTGTCGGGCCCTTTCAGTCATTTTAATTCAATCAAAATGTTGTTCTGGGCTATACAAGGAGGAAACTGAATATTGACCTGTTGGGAACATGTTGCTCACTTGGCCTTTCTGAATCTTAGGGGACTTTATGAGAGATCATTTAAAACAAATCACTTTGCCATTGTTAAAAATAGGGTGGAAAGTTCCATTCAAATGTGGCTTAAAACCATTAAATCCAAGGCTGTAATCATGGAGGGAAATTAAAATTTGATTGTGTTGGTGAATTTGTTAGGTCTAGTCACTGCTGCAGTGGTTTATGGAAAGAGCCTGTGAGACATTTCTTAATAATCTTCTGCCTCGTTCATTTCCAACTTGTTGCAGGAAATACCAAGATCTATGTGGATTAGTCATGTCATGGAACAGGCTTGTCACAGAATCTTTCTAAATTAAATACATATATTGATTAAGGACTGAAACCTCTGCCACACCTGAACAACTTAACCTTGGAAGGTTGCATTGTCAATGTGTAAAATGCACTGGTTGCAGCCAGTAATCTATATGTATGGAAGAAAGAACATGATGAAACACAAGATTTTATTTAAATTTAGAAAAGCTGAATTCATTAATTAATATTAATAGCAAAATATTAGCATAAAAAATAGTTACTGATAGAAATTAGGCATCAAAAAGGAGATTTTGGGTTAAAAACTTCGTAGTTTTAGAAAACAACCCCCTCTCAAGCTGTAATTTCATAACACTTGACTCTATTGTGTCCTATCCTGCTCAGTATGTTTGATTTCGTCCAAAGGAAATATTCAGATTATGCTCTAAACAGAAGAAACTGAAATGAAATTCTGTATTATAAAATATTTTGTTCAATGTAAAAAAAATATTCCCGTCACAGTGTTCGGCTCATATTACCTAATGCTTCAGACCATCTTATACAACCACATGAGAGTGACTGCAGTTTTATAACTGTGTATCATGTTGGAGGCATTCATTCTATTAATTACAGTGTGTAGTTACCACCTTGTACAACTGACTCAATTTGCATGAAGACTTACATAAGTTTACAAGGAGAGTACAACACTGTCTTACCCCACTGCAACATGTGACAACACCTGAGCCACTTCTATCTACTGAGACTTTGAAAGCAAAACTAGTAAGTAAGATAAGAAAAGTAGACCTTGACTTTAGAGATTTTTTTTTTTACTGCAACAACTCCAACTCTGATTAGTGTAGGGTATAGCATAGTATAGCATTTTATACCACTGCTTTTATTAAGACAAAAAATAACAACAAAAATAACTAACTAATAATTTTGTTGTTTTTCTTTTGGTCTAAAAATAAGTACATTTTAAAAATATGCCGATAATACATCTTATTGCATAAAAAAACTGTTTCCTGCAGGCAAAACAAGTAGACTTCTGCTGAAGAAAGCTTTTTATTAGATAACTACTGATTACTAAACTCTTACACAAGTCTCTAAAGGCTTTTAAGTGTGTGTTTGCAAATCTGTTCACTGTCCATCAGTACGGTGCAGACATGACTGAAGTCGTTTCTTCCTTCACTGACCTACATCTTTATTCAGTGATAACTTAAATAGTCATAATGGCTCAAAAGCACACTGTACTGCACGTCTCAAGACTTTACCTATTTTCCTAGAGGCTAAAAAAAAAAAAAAAAAGAACAGAGGTCTTGACATTCAGTCCACATAGGAGTTGTTCCATTACAGAGGGATGATTACGTTTGCCATTAGTGTCTTCAGGTCCTGGAGCCTCTAACTGACAGCAGAAGATATATCCACTATCCACAAAAACTGCTGCACCTGTGCTGTGGCACCTTTTCAATTTGAGATTGGCATATTGATCACATTTAAAAAATGTTTGTTTTGGAGAAATTACTGTTATGGTGACAACATGATGAAACATGATCTGCTTTAAAGAGGCAGTCATCCAACCCTTGAATAAAGTTTGCCTGTAAGTACTACAATAAGTAGTGGGAAAAAAAGTGAAAGTACCTCCCCTCGTGCCGTAATGGTAGGCCGGGACATTTGAACCCGGCACAATGCCAACCTTCCACTGATTGAACAGTGAGATAAACGAGACTTGGCCAGCCTTGCGTGCGTCACTCATCCTTTCTCCTCCCACTAGAGCATGATACTGGACTATGTAAAGGTCTTTTACACACTAAACCACTGTTTAATTAAGTCTCTTAAGTTCCAATACTTAAAAAAGGGATGAAGGGCAAAATGCTATTTCACTGTCTGTGCAGGTTACTTTTATAAATAACCAAAAATTAATGTACCAATAATACAGTGAAAACTACTCCATTCAAACTCCCAAATTCAAACTCTCACATGAAGACTTTGAAAGAGTTAAATTATGAACCCACTGACCAGTAAAGAGCATGTTTATGCTGTGAATGATCATGTTTGGTTTAAGCTCCAGATGCTTGATACTCTTGCTGTCAGGTAAAAACCTTGTATCTCCAGTTTTTAAGGGATTTTCATGCTTCCGCACTTTGACCTGCAGCACAGGTTGAGCACATTTCTCCAACCTCCATGTTTAAAACTCTTTACATAATGTCATCAGGCTAGAAATATGTATATGCTCCCAGGAGCCAGTGCATCCTTTAGATTTTTCCTCCCCTCATGACTAACCACTCAAACCGCCTGACTCGAGCAGTATGACAACCTCTTCTGGGGAGGGAAAAAAAAAACCTCTCAACTCACATATTCTGTAATCGGTGCTGCGTATGAACTTCTGCCATGTGCTGCTGCAGTGGACTCTTTATGTAAGGCGTTATGCTGGAGTTTTCATGTGACACTGACACCAGAAAGCACGTCTACAATGCACCATACGCGACTCTGACATCTCGACAACAGTCATTCCTCTCAACTAAACCACACTTTTAACAACTCTACAGCTTCGGCAGATGGTTTCCAACCCCACTGCATCGCGGCTTTTACTCTCCTTATGTAAAATGTAAGTCAGATCACCGCACAGCACCTATTGAGTCACGTCCCCCGCTGTCATGTGGGCAGGGCTGCCTGCCTGCTGTAGTCTACTGACCGGGATTGACCCTCATATTGACACAGTTATGCAACTTTGACGCTTCGCGCGCGTATAGTATTTTACAGAACACGGCTGCTTTACACGATCGCCCACCTTCATCCATCACATTTCCTATTTTAAAAACAACGTCTTTATCACACAGCAACATCGATAATATTTACGCGTTTATGTAAGTAAGAAACTCCACCAACCTCACAAAACGCAGATCCTCTCCTGGTCCCGGTGTGAAATAAAACCTAGTTTGGGTTTTTTTTTCTTCCGGAGGTCTTTATGGTTGAGTCCCAACAGGAGATAAGCGTGTACGGGTGCAGTCGGTGCTAGGCTGCTCTAAGACACTGCTCTCTCTCCCGTTCAGGTTTCCAGACACACCGGCTCTCTGCCCCGCATCTCCAGCTCAGGCAGTGACCTCATTTCGAGCCCCTCCCTAAGCTCCTCCTCCTGCTCTTCGCCTATTGGTTCAGAAGAACGTCGGTGACGCCCCTTCCGCGCTCCGGACCAATAGGCGCCACCCGCCTCCACAGGGGGCGGTTACCACAGCTGCCGGTCCGCGCTGCCATTGGCCTCCAGCGCTGTCAGTCCTTTTACATAAGGGAGTCACCGCTTTCACGTGGAAACCCACGGCTACCTCCGGCGTGAGAGAGGCGAGAGCAAATCACTACGACTCAGCTGCCGATGAATGAAGCAGTGCCGATGGTTGGCTCACAGCGGCTCAGTGAGGCCGACTGTTATCTAAACGGTTATACAAGTGTGTGTGTAGCCAATGTGGGTGAACCGCTTGGTGCGCATTCGCGTAAGCATGAAAGTTCCTCGACTCGCATAAAAAAAAAGTGATATAACACAAGGTGACTGTTGTCTAATGTATCATCCTTATATAAAAAATAAAGTGCAACGTTGTAATTATGTTATTGGGTTTTTTCTTTGTACCTACTATATGTTGTGATAACATAACAAAACAAAACATTTTTTTGTTAGTTAATTCGTATTTGGTTTTACTCCCACGCATATTGCAGAGCTGTTTTTTTGTCCCATGCCAGAGCTTTGTGCAGTATACTATGGGTCCAATAGATGAATTGAAAATAATAGCACCTACAAATCTCTGTTTTTCATCTTAATTTGTCTTTTCTTTTTTTAAAATAGAGTTCTGTTAATGATGAAAAACCTGTGGAAAATAAAGTATATTTAAACACCAGCACTCATATATTAATTGGTCAATGCCAAAACAAGCAAGAAATAATAAAGATTGCACATCTGCACTTAAAAATATATATTGTTATACTTAAAAAAAAAAAAAAAGGTTAATATCACAACTGAATGTTTGGGAAGGTCTTGTAATCTGTTCTTCTGAGGAGCCAGTCTAAAGTCAAATTGTCCCCCTAGTGGCTGAGTTTGGACCCACATCAGCTGCTGGTCAGCTGTCAGTGGAGAATTTATCACTTGGCTTTGGCACCAAAGGTTTGGTGACTGATGACAACACTCATTACCCCAATTACCCAGTCTAATAATGCATGACGGGATTTATGAACTTGACATTCTCCAGTTCATCATATCGTCTGGTTGTTTTATACTTGCATTGTTTCTCCCTGTCCTCTGTTTGTGCAGTAATAACATGTATCAAATGCTGGCTGAGGGGCAGTGCTCATTCAGAAATTTGTTGCAATGGAAAATCTGTTACACCAATCCTATTTTATTTTGTCCTTGATTATTGCTGCAAGAAGGTGCCTATGTGCCAGTAAAATAAAAATCTTCATTCACGTTCTTCTTTCTGAGGCGTGCTGACCTGTTTTATTGATTTCATCAGTATTTTTGTGCTCAGACTTTAGCTGCATTCCTGTACAAACAATACATAACTTTGGAGGGTTCATAGTATGTACAAGATACATTAATCTAATTTATGTGGCCAGTGATATCAATCTACTTTTGTAGATTATATATATATCCCATTCTACACCTCTTTGGGAACAACACTATGCTGTGTGGCCATGTTTTAGCAATCTGCTTCATCTATGGAAATTACTGCAATTTTAGAATGTGAATTAAAAGGTCATTAGTAAATATTAAACACAGTTGTAAATAGTTTTTGTTTAGAGGGAAACTTAAAAGTCGAGTGAGTAACATTTAGGGGGATCTAGTGGCGGAAATGGAATATAACTTTATAGGTATGTTTTCATTAGTGTATAATCACCTGAACATAGCAATTATTATGTTTTTGTTACTTTAGAATCAGCCTTTTATATCTACAGGTGCCTTCCATGGAGTCTGCCATGTTGAATCACCATGTTTCTACAGTAGCCCAGAAGGAACAAACCAAACACTGGCTCTAGGGCATTTGCATTTTTTTGAGGACACCATAGTTTCTCCTTTGTGCTTGGAAAGGGAGAATGAAGTGAGATCTGCATCTACACTGCTAGATGCCCCTAAATCCTACACACTGGACCTTTAAGTCTACAGGGGAGTGTCTGTTATCTGTCTGCCACTGAAGCATGATAACTTTGTTATCCCATAAGTGATAACTTGTGCGATTTGCATCTCTGTGTGATGACTCTGCATCAATAACCACAAAAGAAACTTGATGCATTAAAATGAAATCAGCAAATATCTCTCTTCCTATTCCTAATACCTCCCTCTACCTTTTTTTGAAACCCATGTATCCTGTTGAGATTGATGAGGAGCTGGAGTATATCCCAGCTCACATTGGGCAAGAAGCAGGGAACACACTGGATAGGTCAGCAGACTGTCAGTGGGCTAATACACAAAGACAACCACATTCACAACCACACCAGGCAAACATAAATAACTATTTATGCAGCACTTTTCAAAAGTCTTGCAGAAGCAAAAGATTTTACTACATATACTGCAGGCGGTATTAAGTGTGACCCAAAAATAAAAGTGTATTGCCTTTACCCAGTCATACTTATTTCCACCCTGTCATCCTGGAGTGAATTAACATATCTCACACTATACTGACCTCCGTTCACACGTTTAGAGATCTGCTGTGACACCGCCTTACCATCTGCTCGATACAGAGAAGGTTTGCATCAACTGAACGTCAAGACAAGACAGTGATTAATGGAAAAGCTGTACAAAATTATCACAAGGTGCTAATTTTCGTTTCATTGGCATTGATCTGTGAGTGTGACGATTTGCAGTGCTGTTATGTCTGGTAAATAGCTCCGGAGAAAGAACACAGGACTTATATGAATGGGGCGGTCAAAAATGTATACTGATTAAGCAACACACTAATATCAAATAATAATGTGCACAACTGGTAATCATTTTCAGCATTTTAGTATGAAAATACTATGATTCTACAAAGCTGTATTCACAAAATAAGAGCAAATTGTTGTTGTTGTGTTGAATCTTTATCTGGGCCCACAGATGGAACAGAGTCTGTAGTGTGAGCTATACTTGCACAGAAAAACAAATCTCCACATAAGGAACAGAGCACCAGATGGTAGAAAGAACTAGCCAGTCTCGACTGGTGCTGGTTGCCTTGTGCTGTGCATCAAGCAGAGCCAATGCAAAGAGAAAAGGTGAGAAAGTGGGTGAGCATGCCAAGCATGTGTAGCCCCAGAAAAGCAGGATGCACATATGTTTAGAATCCCATACCCTCACATGCTCCTCCACTCACATACTGCGAGACGAATAGATAGATATATAGATAGTTTAATACATGTGTAACACATTTGTATAGACACGTGGTTGTATAGCAATGTAAAGTGACATTGCTGTCAGGCTTCGTGCTGCTTGCTAGGAAAGAAAGAGAGTATACTCAATGCCTCATTTAGATGAGTTTTATTTAGTGGCTCAATGAAGCAAAAATGTCCGTAAAAAGTCTTCAGCAGACACAAAATGTACAGGAAAACTGAGTTGGCTCTTGTTTCAGCTATTTAAGTATTTCCATTTCCTATTTTATGGGATGTCATGAAATCTTACACAAATACTAATGTATGAAAAGGGCTTCTTTTGGTGAGTACACCATTTGACTGTACTGTAACAATTAGCATAAAATCAAAACAAATAGAAAATCATGAGTAGTATCAATAATCTAAAAATTACTTCTGGATTGAGTCATTTTTATTTCTCTACTAGTAGCCAAATGTGAATTAAAACTGCCTCTCAACTTAAACTGGAATTAATCCAATTGTTTCCAATGCAACAGGAAACAAGCCACAGATCCCTACTGCTAATCCACCCTTACGCAGTCAGTGACGCAGATGTCCTAATATGTCACTGAACTAGGATTAATAATATCCATGAAAACCATAGATGGCTCAGAAAAAACACGATGAGACATGATGGTGCAACATAAGTGTTTCCCTTGTTTGGTGCCTGAAGTTAAGAACGTGAGAGTGACGCAAATCAGCTCGGCTGTCCTTCAAGCCCTCTATGAAGAGAAGGGCATCCCCAGTATGAGGGGGTGGAGTGAGACAGCTACCATATATGTTCATCGGCATCATCACTAGTATCACTCAAACAAAATGCAGATGGAAACAATCAGTAGGATCGTCTTGCAAGTTGGTTTCATCATGTGATTAACTTGCTCAGAGAGATGCAAGCTCCAAAGGCAATACTCTGTAGCTGACCCTGTGAAGGGTACTGACCCTGGGAGTCATGGGGTAAAAAATTATTGTGTGGTAATCCACATGTGAACAGATTAAAGCAATGTTATTGTTTTGCCACAGCTGTACCCTTTCCTTTTTCTTATGTTTTTCCTGTGTTTCCCGTCTGTGTGTGTGTGTGTTCTGTGTCTGGTTTTCCCTCCTGCCTTCCTGCTCTACTCCACACACCTATCTGCAATCGACTTATCAACTCTACCAGTCTGCTCAAGTATATCTACTCCAGTTCTCCAGCTACTCAGTGCCTGATCATCAGTCTACAGCAGTGGAGTATGCTTGAAAAGTACCTTTGTGTCGCAGATTTCTCGTTTTTTTTGTAGTTTTACAAATAGTTTCCTGCATAGTACTCCTGACAAACTGCTAGTCTTGTGCTTTAGGTTTACACCTACCTGTCTGTCTGTCTGTCTGTCTGTCTGTCTGTCTGCCAGCCATAAGCTCTGCAACAGCCACCATTTGTAAGCCGTCACCTCATTATCACTATCTTCACCTTTTGGAATAAAAACCTACTAGACTTCACAATAAGTCTAAATCTGTGTTTTGCATTTGGTCTAGTTATTTGACATACCTTTGTCAAATAAAAGCCCAGATTGACTAGAAAGCATGGCAACATAACAGCAAACATAAGTCAAGGCTATCAGCACATTGACCTCCTGGCCAGAGTGTCACTACGGTGGCAAATGATCACATAGATTTTAAGTACTTTAAGTTCAGTCAACCCGACGGTCTGTAGAAGCATATAAACGGAG